ATTGCTCGTGTAAATATCGTACGCCAACTTCCAATCATTCTTTGTCACACCAAAACAACTTTAATAACCAGTAATTAGTAAACGTAGTCTATTAACGATTCCAACTCACAAATGAATCATTTTAGTTCCATCTTTTATCAACCTTATTTGGAATTTTAAGTAATTATGATGATTTTTATGGTGCTTGCCGTTAGAACTTGTTATTAAATACTTTATTTTTATTGGTTTGGAGTACTTGCTGGAGCTCTGCTTAGGTTCCCGCCAAACTTCACACAGAGCACAAGTCAAAAATGTGATATCACAACAGAACTGTTAGTTAGCATTAAGAGTAATGAAACTGATCTTTGCGTAACCTACTGAGTCTTTTAACTTTCGATGCTTTCTGATATTGTCAGCTTACAGACATGACCACTGTTAAGAGACTCAGTAGGTTACGCAATGAGCAGTTCTGTTACTGTGACTGCTAACTAACAGTTATGTTAGTGACGTCACAGAGTCACTGCAATGCTTTTAAGGTAATCGAAAAAAAGCTTAAACCCAAATTCTATTAGTAAGAAACATAAAAATTTTCTATCCCTAATAATCATTGCTCAATAGATAATGGCTAAAAATATCTATGACCTTTGGCAGCAGCAGTTCACTGATTCCAGTACTTATGATTCCACGAAATTCGATTATTATTTGAAATTTTGATTAGATTAGTTTAAGGACTAAACACAGTAATGTGTCCAGAAGCAAGTGTTCTTGAACAAAATGCAATTTATCTTTCTGTGTGAAAGAAGTTTAATCAGTTTTATGTTTGGCTGCAGTAAATGAGTTTATCCGGTATCGGTTTCTTTATTTCATATTTTTGTATTCACTTTGGAACAGTTTCCTTGTTGATTAATCCTGAAAATATACCCGTTAGTTAAAACCAAATAGGAAGTTGAATACGAGCTACTGCGTATGGTTTGGTTGGTGGCAATACTCCAAAAGCTGCTGCACGTAAAAAGTTTGGGAGTCACTGGTTTTAGCGCCAAAAAAGAAGAACAAGACTGATGTAGATGTAGACTTGAAAGACTTATATGCACTGATATTAGCAGACAACAGTCACAGACTGAACCTCAAATATGTAGAAACTCATTTATTTACGCGGCATTGAGCAAATGGCATGCAAATTGCATTTGCATCTAATTACAACGACTAGGTAGACGCAAATCTCTATCGCTCTCTTACCTCTCTTTCTTTAGTAAGTCACCTTCGCGCCTATGACGTACTCAAGCAGTTTGTGGTCGTGGGCACTCGCAAGGAAATTCGATATCCGATTACAATTATATAAATTTCGGGGCGTGTAATAGCTCATAAATGCACAGATATGATGACGAGACACAAATGTGTATTTGTACAATTATCGAGAACGCAAAATGACTTGTGATGTGACCTGCAGCACCGCTTACCGCCCATTGACTGAAGCGAAGTCTAATGCTCCTCTCTATCATGGGTGAATAGTCGAAGAGGTTGCTAAAAGGAACAGCATTAGTTACGGTAATATATCAATATAATGCTTTGATCTTGGCTACAAGCTAAGTGAACTCCACGTCTGTCGATCTCAGAGCTAAGCCTATCAATGTGAGGTCAGCTTGGTCAAACTTTTTCTTGCGTTTCCTGCTAGATCAGCCAGTGGCGAATACCACCCACCTTAACCGTATAACCGTATAAAACGTGAGCAGCAGAGGGTGCGCATAATCAGTGTAAAATATGCAACCCAGAAAGCCGCCTCGCCCGCTTCGCGAGTCATTAGAAATTAAATTAAAATGAAATTTGTTTGACTTTCGTATGCAAACATTTACATCGACATAAATTATAAAGCTGCTAAATGAGCAATTTATAGCGCTGCACACTAGATAACTGGTTCTAATCGTTTATTGTGAAATGTGAAGTGTTTTTTAGAATCAATTTCTTGAAAGTCGTGTGAGAATTGTAACTAATATATTTTCCATACTAATCTGAGGGTCGAAAGCAACGAGGATATAAACAACGAACATGGAATGGGGATTTACTTCTGCTCTGTGGCATGAAACCTAATAAGTAAGCATTTTGGATATAAATACGAATTGTTTATAAATTTAGTTCAGTATATGGACTACCCGACTAATAATAAGAAAATGGAATGCATTATAGAAAAGAAATAAATCATGTACAAGACAATATACTTAAAATTTGAAGTCTCTAGCTTTTGTAACGTAAGAGATCGCTGTGTTCATAGTGATAGATGGGCTGACACTCAGGTCTTAGTCCTGGTAAGGAATCTATACACTTTATTGGGTCTGCCATGCCTCCCTCTGCCTGTTACATGAACCATACTAATCATTATATCCTGAATTTCCATTTTCATTGGGTTCATTTGCCAATATCGTTCTCTCTATTTATCTTTCTCCTTCTCGTTTAGGCTTTAGACTTAGACTAAGTACTAATTATCGACTGTCTATTCGACACATATCCAATCCCCTGCCACACTGCCTTCCCTCCACCGACATACCCGGTCAGTAAACTTTGGCACGCAACAGTTTGTTGCAATTTAAGTTACAGCTGCCACCTGTCCAAATCAGGCAGAAGTCGTGCAGCCCCCGCCTCGAGCAGAGCAAAGCATAGCCCGCATACATTTGGGCAACGCACGAAGGGAAACAACTCGGCTCGGCTGTTGTCCTGGCGTGTATAAAAGGAGGCGCCTCGCTCGCAACGCCAGCAGTTGCCACAGCGTAGCGGCGCGCGCTACTCAAATTTCCAATGAAGCTAATTTCAGAAAGAAAAGTGAAAGTTTTTATTATATGTTGAAGAAACAGAAAAAACTAAGCAACAGGCTTTATCAAGTGCGTTTCAATATGCAGGACTTGAAATTTTTGTGGATATTACGAATAGTGTTGTGAATCATTCAAATATATATATTGAATTTTTAAAATAAAAAGTAATTTTTACTAAATTATAGAATTTTTAAACACATTATGCTAAATTATTTTCGTCAAAAAATTTATTTCAAAATGTATTATGTAATTTAAAGTATTCAGAAAATAAGGAATTATGTGTCACATTCTTATTGCTATGCTTTGTGAAAATATATAAATATATAAATCTATTATAAGTCAATAAAAAGTGCTGATTTTAAATATATATATTTATATATATATTCTATTCTATATAACGATAAATTTACATATATAGTTACATATTAAATACATTTAAGTATGTATATATATATTTAAAACACATGTATATATATATATATAATTTTAAATCTATATATATTTACAATGAACTCTAGTCGTAGCGCTTTATATCAGTTAATCTATGTCTTATTTCCTTTTGAAACTAAATTTCTATTCGGTTCTGAGTTTAACTTCTCTACAATAAACACTTGTAGTATTTAACTTATATATAATTTCTATTCAAGCTTTAAACGTTACTTACACGTAATTCACTTAAATTCTTTTTATCTCAAATTAACATAAGCAATTAATTTGCAATTCACACGTGCCATTTGTTCTCTTCCAATCTCAAACTGCCTTTTAATTATTCGCGTTGTTTTTTGTTCTTTGTGTTATCAGAATCTGTTATGACGCAGTTTTTTCCTTCGCTCAGTCAGAGATACATATATGTGCAGGGAACACGTTAGGTTCTAATATATTAAAATGTAATTAAAAAGCAATGCAAATGTCTTTTAGCAACTGCGACTTATCTCGACACTCGAGAGTATCTCAAGAAGAGCTATTCAGATTGCTAGGAGTACGAATATATGAAAGCAAGCCAACAGGTTGCGATTGAAGCTTGTCCCAATAAATATTAAAGGCCAACATGTCAGACCACAATAGCCGACGGCTACGCATGCATAGAAATTGCAACTGATAAGGACCTCAATTCGGCCAAACAATATGAATATATATACGTGTATATACATGTATAGATTGCTGAAGTTTACAAGTATTTACAGCTTTGACATTGAACATCGTCCGTTTGCTTTCGGTCCAGCACGGCTCGGCCCAATGGCTGAGCCATAGATTACGAGACAAAGGACACCTCGGGGACTCCGATGTGGCCGGCAGAGTCTCCATATTAATGCGTATATGCGCGTGTGGTCAGGGGCAGCCAATCAAAACAAACAGCGAATACAAAGAATATAAAATGTCAATTTAAACTCAGTTACTCATTATTAATTAAAAACGATTTTAGTTGCTTGAAAGTAAATTTATTAGACAGTAACCTTCGATACTAAGTAGGTTAAATTTTACATTCTTTATTATAATACCTATTTTAATGTTGTTATTTTATGTAAATGGATGTATCTCAGAAATGAATGGATATAATTGATAAATAAGTATCTAATCAGATAGATAAGAAAATAAGATTATCTTATCATTTAGGCAAATTTATATATAGATTGATAATTGGAATTAGAAATAAATAGTTTGTAATATGCAAAATAAATAGCTTCGTCTTTCATCGTAACAAATGAAACCCCCAAAGCTGCGTCTTCTATCAATATATATTGATCTATCTATAATATGTTATATTATATAATTATATTTTCTACTTATTTGAATATTATTATCGTGAATCACCCTACTTTATTTCTTTGAATATATAAATTTTCGAGTCTATGTAATCTGCCTTCTGCAAATGGTGTAATGCATATGGTGTACAGGTGTGTGTGTGTGTCCGCGCGCGTGTGTGCGTATGTGCGATACAGCGTTTGGGAGGAGCCTCATTTGTTGTGCATCATTTGAAGTAACGAGTAATCCTTTAACCGCTTTCAGTTAATGGCCAACGCAATTGCTGTTCCAAGGTCAGCCAGTGCCACGCCTCCCGGCAAAGGATGTGCCGGCCAGCACGTAAACACTGAAGGCCAAGTGCAATAATCGAAGCACAGCAAACAATACAAAAAATTGAGACAGAGTGAAATAGAGCTTGTTTGTGTGACAGAGGCAGAGCAAGAGAGAGAGAGAGAGAGATAGAGGTAGCCAGGGAAAGAGAGGTTTATTCAGAGCCTTGGCTCTGGCACAGTCGCAAACGCAACCCGTGGCAGGGCAGGGCACTGTCCCACTGGCCACGCTAGTACCGCGATCGCCGTACTCGGCCACAACGTCCGCACAGGCACCGCCAGATATACGCAACAGCGGCAGCATGGAGCGCAGCATGGAACGCAACAGCATGGAGTTTGGGCACAATGCAGCAGCGGCGAATGCTTCCACAGCTACGCCGTGGGGTAACAAGGAGTCGCCCAACAACGAGGATGACTCAAACGAGGAAGACGGCGACACTGCGACACCCGCTAAGGTCACCGATCCTCTGGCCCCACGTCTGGCCAACAATGAGGTAGGTCCAACTCCCTCATGGAATCGATTGCAACTGTAAGTGAAACTGCTACATCAATGACTTCTCTCTTTACACGTTCAGCGGGTTTTGGTCGTTTCTGTGACGGAGCGACATCGTGAAACTTGGGGCCAAAAAGCCGAGTTCCTTTTGGCCGTGATCGGTTTTGCTGTAGACTTGGGAAACGTCTGGCGCTTTCCCTACATCTGCTATCAGAATGGCGGCGGCGCCTTCCTGGTGCCCTACTGCATTTTCCTCATCTTCGGTGGTCTGCCTCTGTTCTACATGGAACTGGCCTTGGGTCAATTTCATCGTTGCGGCTGCATCAGTATCTGGAAGCGCATTTGTCCAGCATTGAAAGGTGAGTTGAGCGGAAGATCTTCCAAATCAATTTTTACATAATAATAGATCATTTTAATGGAGACCTTGGGTGGAAAATAACTCCTATCATTATTTCTTACTCTTTACTTGGTTTAAGCGTGGATATAATAATGATTTTGTTTCAGTTAAATATAATTAAACTGAGTCAAATAGTTTATATAATTTTGATATGGGTTATATTTATTTTATACCCAGCACTCTGTGAAAATGGGAAACCAGGGGATAATAGTTTTGTTAAATGTATGTAACATGCAGAAGGAGCCGTGGCAGACTCCACAAATTTAATTGATATTTGGAATGTAGTTTTCTGACCACCATACGCAGTACGAGCTTATCATCTTATCCATAAATAGTTCCATTTCAGCATATTGATTTTGTATGTGTTATTTTTTCTTCAGGGTTCAGGGTACTCGCTAGTCGGGCCCTCCCGACTAGACTACTCTTACTTATTTTGGTGTTGTTTATGTTTCGAATTTTGTATACTTAAGAACATAAATGTGTGTTTGCGTGGACATCTGTAACTGTGGAAGTATGTTTAAATGAAGAAGATTTATACGCGAGTTGACTATTTTGAAATGTGATATATTTCTTTTCTAAGTATATGAGAAAAGTTGAAACTGCTCAGTGATTTCTTTTTATAAAATTTCAAATAGAATAATTACAAGAGAATTATTATATTTTATTCTAAAGCCAGAGTTTGAAATTTAAATTATTTTGTTAAAAGTCCACCAGTTCAACACTGCAAGGCGCACTGAAAATAGCCTAGGGCTTACCTGGATTTTTGTAGACTGCAATTTATTTTGATGGCTGTTCTACATAAATGATTTACAAATATTGAATAAACGCCACGCAGAAAAAATAATCACATTACATACAAATTGCATGTAAAGTCTTGAAATTGCGTTCAATATTTGTGTAGTTAAATGCCCTGCAGAAAGTAATCAAAGTATATTTATACACATATTCAATATTAATTTGAACAGCTTAAATATAAAATATTACACATACGAGAGGCCCTGCAGAGCGACAAAAATTGTAAAGTGTTTGAATTTGATGTTGCTGATGGTTGCGATGCGATAAAACTGGGCTGAAACGTAACGGAGTTGGGGTTACATTGGGGAGATTTTGGACATAGGCACCCGCAGGGAAATTGCTCTCATTGTTTTGTTCAGCTGCTGCTGATGACATTATCGGAGAGGTCTGAATGGGACCGGAGTCAGTTTGAGTTGAGCCAAGTGAGCTGCTGATAAGCCAGACAGAAATTTGTTGCAACAATTAATGCAGCATTCAAGTGAAATTCAAATTTGAATAGGGCACAAATCAGGCGCAATATGAGCTCTAATTAAATTGTGCAGCAAGGCGTCGCCACCTCCTCTTGGCCCTCCTTTTTCGCCTCCTCCTCCTCCATAAATTGACTTATCTCGATACGAAGACACTCGAAAGTTTTGCGTATCAAGTTGATAATTTCATTAAATGGCAAACAAAATGCTGCCAAATGGATTTTGCTTCCATACAAGTGGATTTACCCTGCGGCTGACAGCGCTTTAAACTTGCACCAACTTTTTGCTGACTCACTAGAGCCCACTCCTATCTTTCGCTTCCGCAGCTTCTCTGAGCCGCCGAGCCGCCGGGCCGCCGGGCCTCTGGCCCTGAGCTGAACGACAAACATTACTTTGTGGCAGTCGTCATTTGCTCAACAAGTGTTTGCTCTAGAGAAACCTTTGCGCCAACTTTCTGCCAGGCGATTAAAACTGAATAGAAATGAGGAAAAAGCATTCACACACACACACAGGTATACAATATAAAACTAGTAGAAAGTGATCGACTAAGGGGTACCCTATTATATTTCTCAGCTCTCACAAGCCTTTTATTAGAGGCATTTTGAATGTAGTTCAAATATTTCACTTTTATATTTCATATTCAAATAGGCAGGCATCCATATACTAACTAGATATAGTACTTGAATAATACTTTGAAGAACAGAGCGTTCATATGCATCTCATACAGAAAAAATAATATATTTGAACTCCCTGTTTCTATTAACTAAAAATAGTTTTCTTATTATTTTTTGCTGAATTCTATAAAACAAAGCAACATGAAATGAGTTTAACACGAGGCAAATATGTTCATGAGTTACACTGAAGCTATTACAAAATAATTATGTCACCTTTTATCAACTGGTACAGGGTATCACAGTAGTAAAATAAGAATCGCTTGTGACAAAGTCTGAGTATGGCGAAGGCTACCAACCAACTTAAATCATGTGACGTGTCTTATTGGCATCATCAAATAAATGGTATAAGGTGTTGAAGGCAGTGAGGGGAAAGGTGCTTAGGTATATAGAGATGCCTTGCCTTGGAATCCGTAAAGACATTTCAGTGCAGCATTCCACCTCTCGTGTCCAATAAGCAGAAATGTGTAAAATGTCACGTGGGAATATTTGAAGTTGATGAATTCTCTCATCGTTATCAATCAGAGATTGGCAATCCCATGTTGCGCAGCACACGCACACAAAATTACACACACACACACACACACATTCCGTAAAACGGATACCTATTGATACAAACAATTTCTGTTTCGAACTGTGCCACGAAACTAGTTCAGTGGGTTATACCAATAAACGAATGGCTTTTATTTATATATATTTTTGTGCATTTATATTTAATTTTTTATGTTTTCCAAATTGTAAGTCATGACAATATTGTAAATATTTCATTTAAATATTGACGGAAATTAAGAATAAATAATTAATGATGCATAAAAAGGAGCAGCAATAAAAAGGAGCAAATGAAATGAAATTGTTACTAAAATCCAAGAATATGAATGTAAAGAAAGTATATAAGGTAAAAGATAAGTAAAGATAACTAAGTCTCCCACGAGTATATATCGCTATTTGCTCATATAAACTCTTCCTCCCCAGGTGTTGGCTATGCAATTTGCCTGATCGACATTTATATGGGCATGTACTACAACACAATTATCGGCTGGGCGGTATATTACTTATTCGCCTCGTTTACTTCCAAATTGCCGTGGACGTCCTGTGACAATCCGTGGAACACACAGAACTGTATGCCCGTTACAAGTGAAAACTTTACAGAGTTGGCTACATCACCGGCCAAGGAATTTTTCGAGTAATATAAATATTTATAAGCATATATATATTTATATTATATATGTGTGTGCGTGTGTTCATTACTATATATCACAGGCGTCGAGTTTTGGAGAGCTACAAGAGCAACGGCTTGGATTTCATGGGGCCCGTTAAGCCCACCTTGGCGCTTTGTGTATTTGGAGTCTTCGTGCTCGTCTACTTCTCACTGTGGAAGGGTGTACGTAGTGCTGGAAAGGTCGTCTGGGTTACGGCTCTGGCACCCTACGTGGTGCTTATTATTTTATTGGTGCGCGGCGTCTCTCTGCCTGGCGCTGATGAGGGCATCAAGTATTATCTGACACCCGAGTGGCATAAGCTGAAGAACTCCAAAGTTTGGATCGACGCAGCCTCACAAATTTTTTTCTCACTGGGTCCCGGCTTCGGAACGCTGCTCGCTCTATCCAGCTATAATAAATTTAACAACAATTGCTATCGTGATGCGCTTATAACCAGCAGCATTAATTGTCTGACAAGTTTTCTGGCGGGATTTGTTATCTTTTCGGTGTTGGGGTGAGTATTTGATAAGAATATGGCTTATTAAATAAATTTAGAAATGAGAATCTGAATCAACAAGATATCGGCAACGGGTGCAAGACACCCTTGAGGTGTTCCACGCAAAGTCTATTGAATAAGCTTTTGGCTTCCCAACAAGCGATCAAACTTGAGGCTTGTCTATTTTAACTAACTTTATATTAAACTATTAAACTATATATTTCTTCAGCGACATCATAAAAGGACATTTGTTGAAAAATAATTGCGCTTTTTAATTTTCAAATGATTTATTCTTTTAATCCACAATATATCCTCACGCCAATAGCTATATGGCCAACGTGCAGAAGACTTCGATTGATAAGGTGGGCTTGGAGGGACCAGGGCTAGTTTTTATTGTATATCCAGAGGCGATAGCCACCATGAGCGGTTCCGTATTTTGGAGCATTATATTCTTCCTAATGCTCATCACGCTGGGATTGGACAGCACGTTTGGCGGCTTGGAGGCGATGATAACAGCACTCTGCGATGAGTATCCCCGTGTGATTGGACGACGGCGAGAGCTGTTCGTGCTGCTGCTGCTCGCCTTCATCTTTCTGTGCGCGCTACCCACAATGACCTACGTAAGTATGTAGAGCTGCTGTCGCTTATCTATCAGTCGGAGTGATTCGTTTAATTAACTGTTAAGTGCCTGCGAACCACCCAACAAGCTACTCCACATGGCTCATTAAACGCAGCCAGAGCCATGACTGGCGATTGTCTTGCTGCCGGACAGGGCAGTGGGCGGACAGACTTGCTAACTGTTTAAATATGCCAGTTTAGCTGAAGCAAAAAACGATGGATTGCCATATTAAGTGCTTTCCATCGTTCCTTCAGACAATCTCACATACTTACTTAGCTCCAGTCAAGTCGCTAACCGTCTTGCCCGCTTCGTTTACTTCTGCTTGGGCTTCTGCATTTTTATCACCTGTCATCTAGGTGGGTCGCGCGCTTGTTTGCTTTTCGCCTGGCCAAGCATCCACCACCTAAATAGAGGAGGTGGTTGGCCAAACACTTGACTCTCTGTCTGTCCGCCCGTCCTGTCAGCCCATTGCCACTTTGTCTGATTACATTTGAAATTGTAATTTAGTATCTTTTATATATTTTACTTGACCACTCGACTTGTGCAGCGGTCAATGGATCAAGCAATTCCATTTCTATGCATATCTAAACCGGAACTCCGCCTGAATCCATTCATCAGGCATAGTTTGGACCATTGCATCCATCTTTTTTTTCTGCATTGGCTGAAGCCGTTAAATAACAATTGGCAAGGTTATAGTATTAATTTGCCTGGAAAAAGAAGGAGAATAATACATAGAAAGGATGTCCCAGAATACGTTTTCTGTTATAGTCAAGAGATTGTTTGGATAAGTTCGGCTTTGTATCCGTATTGTTACAGGTTTAGACTATATCATAAATAAAAGATAATCAAAGATATACTTCTGAAATAGATAGACGCAGGTTAAAAGAAACAAGTAAGAGTGCTTTAGTCGAGGCTGCTCGGCTGCTCAGTTGCTAGCTAGGAGATACTCAGAGCCCTGCGAGGAGGAGATACTCGAACCACTTTCCGATTCTGTTATGCATACATTGCAAACAATACAGGAACACAGACATACGCACACAGAGGCAGGCTCTTTGGCTGCGTCTGGGCTATAGTATGGGCTTTACTCTGGTAACTTCATTGTTGAATAACTTTTCTTCTAGATTGATTTTCTTATGTGTGTATTTGTCAAGGCGAAAGACTCTAGCATTTGCAATTTTATGGACAAGGGGTTAAGATTTGAAGTCTCAAGCGTTTGTGGCGAGCGGACGGACTTACGGACATGGTCAGATCGCCTCAGCTCATCGTCTTAATCAAGAATCTGGGTTTGCCATACCTCCTTCTACATGTTACATACATTTTTACAAATTCAGGGTATACAGATTCAGGGTATACAGATTTTGTATATTAGATTTTGTAGCTACTTTAAATGGAGACGAATAGAGGAAGACAGACATACATCCAAGTGAACAGTGCAAATCAAACAAACATGGAGCAGATGTCTGATAGTTTTGGCCTTCTGATTTTCAGGGTGGAGTTGTATTGGTTAACTTTTTGAATGTCTACGGACCCGGTCTAGCCATACTCTTTGTGGTGTTTGTTGAAGCAGCGGGTGTCTTTTGGTTTTATGGCGTTGATCGCTTCAGCGCGGATGTGGAGCAGATGCTGGGTGCCAAGCCAGGAATCTTCTGGCGCATCTGTTGGACCTACATAAGCCCAGTGTTCTTGCTGGTAAGTGGATCCAGCATGAATTGTGATATCAAGTACAGGTTTTTCTATTTCGCAGACCATATTTATATTCTCGATACTGGGCTATAAGGAAATGCTGGGCGAGGAGTTCTATTATCCGCCTTGGAGCATTCAGGTGGGCTGGGCCGTTACCTGTTCGTCGGTGCTGTGCATACCCATGTACATGATATACAAGTTCTTTTTCGCATCGAAGGGTAAATGCCAGGAGAGACTGCAGCAATCGTTCAAGCCGGATGTGACCTGTGGCTCGGTGGTCCCTGGTCAACAGGGCACTTCGGTGTGACATGACAATGCTGTGCATTTGAATATACACACCAGCAGCACCAACATCAACATTTATAGTTTAAATTGTAGAGCTTATTCACCAACAACAAACAAAACAACAGCAAACATGCAACTGAGTAATAGTAAACTGATGGACCTCAACAGTTACTATGCTTATCACACAAATCTTAGCTATACAGAGAGAGATGGTAATGCTCTGCCTGCAGAGGAGAAGGAGTCGTTGTCAAATACAAACACACGAAATGGAAATGGGAATGATCCTAATACATGTTGTGCTACTGCTAGTCTTAGCCATAGTCTCAATCTCGGCTCGGTCAACGAGAAGTGCTATTCAAGCCATCCAACAACTGCTGCCGAGGACAATAACCGCGCGCTTAAGATCAGCAGCTGCAAGCCACTCAAATTTCCTCTAGCCAGCGAGTGGTTGGTCTGAGGATGTAATCATCTGAAGCTGCACTCATCTGGAAAAACTTCGCAAACAGCCATTTGCAAAGCTTTTCGGGCCACCTGGTAATATCTCTAATTCTCTATGTCAAGTATTTAACGTATATAAAAATGTTGTAATAAGTGTATAACAATCCTTAGTGCACAACTGTTAAAACTAGCAAAAACTATACTCGTCTAACCGTAATTATGAAAACTAACACTAACTATAACTATATATTATAACTATACATACATACATATATACCAATACACATAAAATGCCACGCGCTTCTTAAAGATAACTAGGTATTATGATACAGTTTAAATTAAAAGATAAACTTAAAGTTGCTCCAATTGAAGCTAGCATTTAGCTAATTGTATAATGTGCAAGTAAATCGGTAACAAATGCTTTTTACTAGCAAATCAATAGTAGTATTGTTGTTAAAAATAATACTTATCTATCTACATGTTGCGAATACCCTGTGCAATGGCTTACGGTATGAGCAGTTGAATGCCTCTAATTAACTGTAAAAACAATTGGAGAACAGCCATTTGCAATTGTTTTTGTGAAGTTGATATTTAAATAGAGTATTGACAGTACCAAGAGAAATAATAAATAAAATATATAAACAATTCGAATTGTGTTTGATTTTATTAAAAACCTAATTTTAACTACGGCAAGGAATAAACGGAGGAGTGAAGCTAGATCGGTTTTAATATATTTGGCAAATATAAATATATTAGGACCTATTTACCTTTGCTCCTTCAAACAACATACATATATATATATATATATATATATATATATATATATATATATATATATATATATATATATATATATATATATATATATATATATATATATTTTTTTTTTTTTTTTTATTACCTATTTGTATTTGCAAGCTGTCGGATAGAAAAATCAGCAAATTGTAATTCGATTATATTATTTGTATTGTCTTAAGGGGGATATTTAAAGAGGGAGTGAGCTCAGCGGGTGGTATCTTCTTAGGCGGCGGAAGCCGGTGCTGTTGATGGTTAGCCTCTAAATCTATTAATAAACTCAAAAGTTCTTGAATTCTTCCTGGATTGTTTCCTTCCTTGTTTGAGTAGAGTAAATGTGTATTGGAGATCGTTCTTAACGCTCTGTTTTGAAATATCTGTCTAATGTTACAATGGCTCGCAGTGCCCCTGAATCAGAGGTCCATATGGATTTCATTCTGGTCTTGTGGATTAGTAGCTTGACACGTAGCTGTTGGATGGATTTTTTTCCGACAACTCTGAGATGTTTCTCCAGCCTTTCATTGAGTTGTTTCATTTTGTTAATTCGGCGAATTCTCCAGGTCAGCCTTCTACCAAGCAACAGTCCCAAGAACTTGGCTGTGCCGGTGCTACGGATGGCAGATCCGTCGATTTGGACAGGGAACTGTCTTCCCTTCTTAGCGCAAAGGTTGTCTGAGTGTATATATTATAAGCGTAAGAAATAAAATTAGTTTTGTGGTTCCAAAAGCTGAGCTATATAAAATCAACAGCATTTACAATTTTATTTTCCGTTGTTAGCCTTAAAAGCAATCCATATGGAAACGATCAGAGAAATAACTCTTAAAGTAAATAAGACTTGTTTATTTTAAATTATAGAACTATATTTAAAACATTTATAGCTTTCAAGCTCATTTTTAAGCAAAGATTCTAGCAAATCGATGTACATTCATTTTCATATCTGAAAAGCTCAATACGGACTGAAACGAAATGTTCGCATTTAATTTTAAAATTATTAAATTTTAATTACATCAACTTGCTTGGGTTACTGATTAGCGTACTTAGCTATACAAAATAGTTAAAGAGGATCTGGCTTCGTTTATTTATATATATTTATATAACTAGGTACGATATATTTATGTAGTTTTATGAAGAGGAATTAAGTATGCTATTATTCTTTTCGACATTTGTTGACATGTTTCACAGCTCCCACTAAGCTGGCCAAAAATATGTTCCTGATCTTGTAGTTGTTGTCTGCTGCTTCTATTATAGATGTTTTTCTAATGCCGTTTATGGCTCTGGCGGCTGCTTTTTTCGTTTGCGACGTGATTTTCGTTTTTTCTTTCGCTCCTATTTTTTGCTACTCTTACAGCACTCGTCCTTGCTCTTGTCGGACTTCTCATCAGCTTTCTTGTCCTTGCTGGCATCCTTATCTTTAGTGTCCTTGTTCTCTTTATCCTTGCTATCCTTATTCTTATCCTTGCCATCACTCTCAACTATCTTCTTGCCCTCCTCCGCATCGCGATTTGCCAATTTGTTATTAATTAAATTATGCAGAGCAATTATCGAACGGACCATAGAAGCTAAATAGACGACCAGCATCTGATCATTGGTCTTCACGTACATGGTACCCGTGAACTGATCGTTGGTTATGTCCGGCAGAAGGTTAAAAATATCCTGCAGTTGGTAGACAATCTGATGGTTAATGGGCATCTTGCCATCGCCGACACGCTGTAGATACTGTTTGATATCACGCAATTGTGCATTCAGGCCTTTGAGACCCATTAGCTGGTTGGTGATTTTCTGGGATAGGCTTCCGACGGTGGTGTCTTTAATATCGCGCAGCAAATGCTCAACGCCCACTTCCTCGGCCTCTTCGGCGCCAATTTCACTTGGTACATGCTCGAAGGTTTTGCTAGTGGGAGAGCCATCGTCATGCACCTCTTCAACAGATATGTATGCTTCCGTCGGAAGACCCAGATCCTTTGGCTTGGCATCTATGATGACTAGTACAGAGTTTGGACAGTAACGGCGAATCAGCTCGTTTATTGCTATATCATTCTGGTGCAGTTTCGGTCCAGTATGATACCAGCCCACAACTCGCTCGCGTGCATTAACCTTTTTGAACATGCCATACATGTTCTCCAAATAATCATGATCCAAGAACCACACTGACTTGTCTTTGTCATCCTCATCAAATGGAACTGTAAGGCATTTGGATACTTAATATACATTTTTAAAATATATATTTGTTTATTTACTTACCCGCAAAACTGTTAGAGACATCTAGCACACCCTTGGAACGCCAGCAGCCAAGAAGCACGCCAACGACGCGCTTCTGGTTGCCAATTTTGCCCATGCGATTAAAGTGATCCACGACCGACAACAGAACCAGCGGGTGGACAATCACTTTGTTTACGCTAACCTCCAGCGACGGCATTTTGATTTAGTGGCTTGATTTTTACTGTTGGGGATTTCTTATGCACAGCGTACTATGCTTGTGTTTTCCTTAAAATATATTCGTGACAATTGCAATTTTTGCTGCGGTTAACAGTTGAACGAAACACCGAAATGACAAGCAAATTCTTCTTCTTTGACGTGTGTCTAGAGATGAGTGTAATATTGAATAAAATACTGAATACTACTTAAAAGCGATTACTGTATGCAATAACGCTAGGCAAGCAAAATTATTTTCATACGTGCTATCGATGAGTTTTGTATAACAATATCTAGGTGGTTATTGGGAATCGATTATTCTAAATTCCATTAAAACAAAACATAAAATAATTTCAAGCGTCTGACAATTCTGTACATTTAAAAATATTGTATGTATAGATCGAAGTATCGATATATTTGCGTAACCCCTAAGATCTGCTTATTTGAAGCAGCAGTCCAACAAGTGATTAGTAATAGTTTTAATAATAAAATTCCAAACATTTTTTGTTATCGTTTTTGGTTTGTGTGCATTTGTAGCAGTCGTGAAGTGCTGTTTCTTTTTGCCCTTGGCGGCTTTCCACATGCACAGTAGTTGTGCTCGTCTAACACATGCCTAAATGCCCTAAGCAATGCACGTTGCCATATCGTTGCTGTGGAATTTCAGAACTGGTCACACTGGTTATCGTTGCGCGAGAGAAATTGACAAAATATCCGAAGCAATTAGCAATTTGAGTGCAAAAACATTTTATCTACGTGCATAGTTCAGTAATGCCCTTAAATTTGTTGCGAGTGTTTGTCATTTGTATCGTGTAGCCAACTGATATGATAAAATGATTGTGATGCGACGATGAGGTAATGGTTTTTGCTGCCGTCGCTTGCTGCGTTCGTCTACAGTTTCACACATACACGCGCGCACAGGCATTTACATACGTCCAGTTTGATGGGCGGCCGCAGCGTAATCATCAATGAGCAACTATAGGACGAGGCTTAGGCTTTGAGTGCGCGTGTTGTTTACAAATTGTGAATTGCACGGTTTAAATTAGGGTACTTATCACATAAGTGCAAGCTGCTGGCTGTTTCAAAAAGCTGTTTCAAGAAAACAAAAAAAGCCAGACAAGAGCCAAGTAAAAGATGAGACAAGTCTCAGATTCAGCTCGTAGACATACTCATACACATGCAAATGTACACGCACACACTTAAACACAGACACAATCACGCACAAATACATGCACACGAACAGGCAGTCGTTTTACGCTCTTTTTGTCTACGTCTTTTGCTTTTCTCGTTTGTAATCATTCTGCAGCCGTTCTTATGTGTTTCTTTCTATGTAGTGTACAAATATTAGAGCTTGAGAGCTGCTAATTAAATTATAAACATACAGAAGCGTTAAATAGTCGTCACCGAGTTAGAGCTACAGCCAGAGCCAAACCCACGAAACCAAACTTTGGCCCATTTCTATTTACATTAAGACGACGACGACGACGAAAAAGAAGTAGCAGCAAAAATAGAAAAGGCAGGTGAGCGACAAGAGAGTTTAAATAAAAAAAAAGAAAAGAAAAAAACAATAGCTACCAAAGCTCAATCGATCAATGAAGCTCAAGCTCAATGAATGATGCATGTGTTGTTGTTGTTGTTACGCAGCTTTCACCAAATTGGAATCTAGTTTAATCTGGCGGTGGCCACTGCTCCTTGCAGTATGTAGAACAAAGAGCCCAAAATAAAAACAATATTTACATTCGCATTTCTGCAAGACGTAAACGAACAAGAAGAAAGTAGAAAAAATGTCCTTCATAACTAATCTAAAGAAGGTGTTTCACCTCGGCGGTGGTGGCGAGGCAAAGAAAAAACGCCTCTATAATAATATTAAAATGGATACCGATCCAAAGGAATTATGGGAAATGGTCGGGGAATTGGGCGATGGCGCTTTCGGCAAGGTCTACAAGGCCCAGCACAAGGAACACAAACGGTTTGCAGCCGCCAAAATGTGCACGCTCGAGGATGAGGAAAATCTAAGCGATCACATGGTCGAAATCGATATACTCTCGGAAATTAAACATCCAAACATTGTGGAACTCTACGAAGCATTCTCAATTGATGACAAACTTTGGGTGAGTCATAACAAATTCGCATACTAATGTGGTGGCATTTGTAAGAGGTTAGTTAGGGAATTGACTGTAACACAGTAATGAGTAATAACAAACATTTCAAATTAATAATGATTGAATAAATATTTTAAATACAACAGTTTGAATCGGTAAAATTTCAAATTAAAACATAAATGTAGTGTAAATGCTTTGTAAAATAAGAAGCGTATGAATTATTTACGAAAATTTTAGTAAATCATATTTTCTGAAAAGTGATTTTATATTCCTTTTACCAACTACTATCTAACTGGTAATCATATAAAGTAAAACTATAAATATGTTATGCAGAGCAATATGTAATATATGTAAACTTGATAAATATGTTTACAGACTATATTAGCTGTAAATAAAGGGTTGTATATTAAAATTATTTATATTATTTTATATTTAATTTAATTTATAGATGCTCATCGAATATTGTGACGGCGGTGCTTTGGACAGCATTATGGTTGAACTGGATAAGGCGCTTACAGAGCCGCAGATTGCCTATGTGTGCAAGCACATGACCGAGGGCCTTACATTTCTACACAAGAACAAGGTGATACATCGGGATTTGAAGGCTGGTAATGTGCTGCTCACCATGGAGGGCGGCGTCAAGTTGGGTATGCAGTTCGCTTTAAATTAATTAAGTATTCTCTCAATTAATTGCTCTGTACTCAATTACAGCTGATTTTGGTGTGTCGGCCAAGAATAAACATACAATGCAAAAGCATGACACGTTCATTGGTACGCCCTATTGGATGGCCCCAGAACTCGTATTGTGCGAAACGTTTCGCGACAATCCATACGATCATAAGGTAGACATTTGGTCGCTGGGTATCACACTTATTGAGTTAGCGCAAATGGAGCCGCCGAACAGCGAGATGTCGCCCATGCGTGTACTGCTCAAAATACAAAAGAGTGAGCCGCCGAAATTGGATCACCCGAACAGATGGAGCAAGGAATTCAATGATTTTCTTAAAAAGTCTTTAGTCAAGGTGCGTTTTGGTTGTTGCTACCAATGATAACATGTAAAACTTAACGGTTTTGTGTCTATTTTACTTTTTCAGGATCCCCAGCAGCGTCCCTCAACAGATGTGCTACTGCAGCATGGTTTTATCAACTGCAATCTGGACGCGAAGCCGATTAAGGATTTGCTACTCGAGTACAAGGCCGAAGTCGTCGAGGAGGTCGTCGATGATGAGGCTGAGGTTAGCTATAGTTTTGACTATTCACTGTACTGTCTGTTGTTGCCAGCACAATATGCACCTGTATTACAGCCAGAGCTAGAGATGACACTAACTCTCTCTGTCTTTTGTATATCTCTTTTTTACACGCTGCCTCCTTGTCCTTTCTACTATGCCCACTCCAAAAAAATCGAAATAACTAACTGCGATAAATCTCTTAATTTATTTGTCTGTCATTATTTCGGCCATATTTTGTTATCGTTTTTGTATTTTTATTTGTGTGTCTGTTTATCTGCAATTGATTTAGAAGCTTAAACGCCAAGAGAAGCGGCGTTCGCTCTATCAGAGGGTTGGTAAGTCGTTCTACAGCAATTCCCCGACGGCCGTCCCTCCGTCCAACGCACGCTCTATTTATATTCAAGTTATTATACTTATTTTTATCAGCATTGCCAAATGTTTATCTTGCTTTATATACTCGCATTCAATTCTTAAGTTTTTTTTGCTTTTCGGAAGTCACGAACACACTGTAGTGCTTCAAAACATTTTATACAATATATTTATATTTTATATTATATATATATATTTTATATTATATATATATATATATATATATTTTATATTATATATATATATATATATATTTTATATTATATATATATGTATTTTATATTATATATATATTTTGTTTTGTGTTAAGCGCGGGTCCAAAAAAAGTATTTTATTTGCAAATGCTTTAAAATTATTCTTTAATGTAATAAGTGGGGCCTTTGTACTTAAGATCTTCAGCGGGGAATTTTTATGAAATAGTTTGGTTTTTGACGATGTTTGCGTAGGAACCCCGCATCTCGTTCTAGCTCGACTTGGACGAAGGATATGCTATATTTCCCATATATATGTAAAAAATATATGATACAATAGAACCAAATATATATACATTTATATATATTTATCGTATACACATATTATTTTACATGTATATATATATTATATACATAAATACAGACATATATTTAGTTCTTATTATATTATTAAGAACTCGATCCATTATTATGTTCCTTATCGAACTTTTTAGTTCTTATCTATGTTGATAAATTCTATCTATCAATATAGATAATATTTATCAGGTATCTTTGCTTTTTTATTATAGGCGGGGTTAAAAAATACCTTCATCTGTGCTCTGAAAAAGTTGTATTGATTTTGAAGATCACTTTTTTTACATAGTTAATCATGCCTTAATATAAGAGGGAGGCATATGTTATGACAGTTGTTCTCTACGCGCGGGTTGTTAACATTTATATGATAATCTAAATTTATTCATGAAAAAGCATTTTATTTTTTTGTCAAATGACTTAAAGTTCTTAGTTAGGCTTTCGTACTGCAGTTCTTCAGCTAGTCGCTTTTATAAAATTGTAAAATTGTATGTGCATTTACTAACGTTATGCATTTTTTGCATAGGAACCCCGCAACTCGGCGCTCCAGCTCGATTTGGACGATGACTCTGCTTCGCTGCAGAGCCAAGACATTGATAAACGTAAGTGTCAATTTAACTTTTCGTATTAGACTACTTGAACTCTTTTTATATATAGTTCCAGGTACACCTACATCCATTTCGCGGGATTCCAAAGAGCAATTCCAACCAAGTAGCAGTCTACCAACAACAGCAGCGGCTTCAGCAGCAGTAACAGCAGCAGCAGCAGCAGCAACAGCAGCAACAGCAGCAACAGCAACAGCATCAACAACAACAGTAGTAACAACTAAAGCAACAAAACCAGAAAAACCAAACCAGAATAAGGAACAATATGCGCCCGGAGTAACCGAAACAACAGTACCGCATAACAAAGTGACTGCACCAGCGCCCCCAACACCACCAGCGTCAGAAAACCAACAGCAACAACAACCGCATCCCCAGCCACAGCCACCAGCTGCAGCCGTGTTAAAAAAATCAAGTGAGGACGTTGCAGAAACAAATGATAAGTCTGATGCTGAGAAAAAGGTGAGCGGTTTATTAAACATTGGCTAATTACAAAATTTAATTGCTTAAAACTCTTTACAATAGCACTTTGTCAAAAAGGAAAAAGGCAAAGCGCCTCCACCGCCTTCAACAGTCGTCGTAGCTGCTACAATTGCAAAGAAGCCACAAAGTACACCTACATTGGACGTGGAGACAACAGCATCGCCTAAACAACTGGCAGAACCCACAGGCGCCATCGAAGTGACCATTGGGCAAGATACTGGGGAGACCAAGCCGCAGCCACCCTCTCCGACTGCCTCTTCCATTATATCCGTGCAGTCGGCAGCTTCCACGGGTAGCAGCTCGAGTAGCGTAGCGGGCGATGTGCTTAGCTCCAGTACCTCACTAATAACCATCAACAGCAGCGATGCATCGTCTGCTCTGCGTCAACAGCAATCGGTACCGCCGCCGCCACCACCGCCCACGCAGCATTTAGTGCTGCCAAACAGCCTGGAATCGGTTAGTCAAATAACAGTCGTGACAAGCACCCATCCGCCGGTGATCATTGACAATTCACAGCCATCAACACAAATGACGCAAAATGAGGTAATCATCGTGTCGAATGATTTGAACAAGAGCAGGCAACTTCATGAGTCATCCACGGATGAAGATTTCCCTTCACTGGACGACAGTCTTGGGGATCAGATGAAGCAGTCATCCATGATACTGTCTGTAAATGATAACCAAGACAGCTGCATAGCACCAGCATCTGCAGGTGCTGTCCACGCACGTAAGCTGGACGAGAGTGAGGTATTGATTGTGAGTCCATCGTACGCGGATGACGATTCGGCATACAATACAGCATCGGGCAGTCACGATCACAGCGATCAGTTGTTGCTTATGGACACCAGTCACGTGTCCGTTGTCACCGTTGGTGATGAGGTCATCAAGGTTAAGGACAGCAGCCATCAAGAGCTTAATGATGGTGGCGATATCGGCAAGCGCCAGCCGGCTAATGGCATAGTGCCTGAGGATGTGAGCATCATTGTGAACCGGTTTAAACCCGGCCAGGAGCAAGAGAAACGCATCTCACCCGACAGCAGCCTTGGCTCCGGGTCGAGCGAGAATGGCTCCGTGCGGGAAAGACGCGGCGTTGAAGTGCTGATAACCAGCGGAGGTGGTGATGCGGACAGCATTGGAACTAACACTAGTCAGGACAGTCGTAGCGAAGTGGATACAAAACAGTTGCATGCGTCCATGTTGCCACCGCCGCCTCCGATAACCAATAACAACCGTAGCAACCTACATCATCAGCGGCTGGCACTGTCTATTGACGAGGAAGAGGAAGCGGATGTTGTAGTTATACGTCAAAAGCCACGCGTGCCGGCGGCCAAAGCCGGAGGCGTTAGTGGACTCACCAAGGAGGAGATCGAGCTGCGCAATTTGCGCAAAAAGACTCGTAAGCGCACGCGTAAATTTGAAATCGATGGCGTGCAAATGACCACAACGACTAGTCGAGTCATCTATGGCGATGAGGATAATGGACGTATCTATGATGATCACGATTTCCGTAAACAGGAGCTTCGCGAATTGAAAATGCTGCAAAAACAGGAGAAGAAACAGCAAAACGAGTTGCATGTCAAGGAACAGCTGGCAAAGGAGCAACAAGATCGTCGCTTCGAACAGGAACGAATGTCGCTTGAGAAGACCTACGATACGGACATGGAAACTCTTGCTCGTCAACACAAACAGCTAATCGAAAAAACCGAACAGACGCAAGAGAATGAGCTACGCAGTTCTTCGAAACGTATACGCTCTGAGCAGGAACAAGAACTTAAGATATTCCGCGAAAATCTTAAGCAGGAGATACGGCTGCTCAAGCAGGAGGTGGATCTGTTTCCCAAAGATAAACGGAAGGACGAGTTCAAACAGCGCCGTACAGCCATGGAGCTGGACCACGAGGAGAAGGAGCGGACGTTCCTTGACTCGCTCAAGGAGCGTCACGAGCTGCTGCTGCGTCGTCTTAGCGAGAAGCATCGTGACCATTTGGCAACCATTAATCGGAATTTCCTGCAACAGAAACAGAATGCCATGCGTACGCGCGAAGCTCTGCTCTGGGAATTGGAGGAAAAGCAGCTGCATGAACGCCATCAACTCTCCAAGCGACATGTCAAGGAATTGTGCTTCATGCAGCGTCATCAAATGATCGTACGTCATGAAAAGGAGCTGGATCAAGTAAAACGCATGCTGCAGCGCAAAGAGGAGGATTTACTCAAGAAGCAAACTCTCGAGAAGCGTGCCTTGCCAAAGCGCATACGAGCTGAGCGCAAGGCGCGTGATCTCATGTTCCGAGAATCCTTGCGCATCTCTACAAGTCTGGATCCCGAGATCGAACGTGATCGTTTAAAGAAGGTGGGTTAATCAACCGATCATGGTTGAAAACACTTATAGACTGGTGTTCTTTCTTACAACAGTTCCAGGAGCAGGAGAAGAAACGCTACATGCAGGAGGAACGTCGCTTTGAGGTCAAACACCAAAAGCAATTGGAGGAGTTGCGTGCCACACGTGAAAGCGCCATTAGGTGAGCCAGCTGGATGCGAGACTTTTTTTTGTAATACTTCATTGATATCGTTCACATTATAGAGAATTGGAACAACTGCAGAATGAGAAGCGCAAGGCCCTTGTTGAACACGAACATGCCAAGCTCTCGGAGATTGATGAGCGGCTGAAGTCGGAGTTACGCGATTGGCGTGAACAGCTAGTGCCCCGCAAACAGGTGTGTATACTCGGTTTCCACTTTTACTTTTACTCTCTCGCCTATTATCTCTCGCTCTGTTTCTCTCTATCTGTTATGCCCCTTCCCCATACCTGACCGTTCAAGTCACCCACAAGCCAAGGCTAGTTTTACCAAAGAAAAAAACTAGCAGTTCCATTTTAGTGTTTTGTGTTTTTTGTACAATTGTCTGTAGTTCGATTTGGATTGATTTTAAGTTACTTTTTAATATTGCTGTAAATATTATTATTTCTTGGTTTACGGTGATGTTTTGTGGTGTTTTGTGCTACCCCATGATCTCTGCCCCACTCTCGCCCCCCTTCTGCCTCTGCCCTCTGCCTCGTGCCCGTTCTTTCAAACGTCATAACGTCATTGCACTTGTGTGTTGAGCAATAATTGAATAGTTTACGGCTTACAATTTATATGCAGATAACTCAGTCATGACTAAGGAAACTTTATCTTTATGACACAATTTTTTTAGCATTGGACATATGAAAATCAGTTACTCATGCTAATACGATATAATGAGAAGTTGTGTGTAAAATTGATAAGTTTATTATACGTAGTAAATATTATGTATTGGAAAAATATCAATATGTTAGATCAGTCCTATAACGAAAGTTTTAGCTTCATTTTGACCTAAATTTAATTGTAAACTCATTACGCTCCTGTTTTCAGTGAGTCAAAAATCAGTTTTAATAGAGGAAAACTCTGTTTAAAAATTAAGCCAACGTAATTAGATTTCAACTACCGATAGTTGTTTTTAAAGAAAATTTAGAAGTAAACAAACGACATTTAATTGCTCAGCTTGGCTCGGTTCTCATGTGATAATGTTATACGTTTATTTGCTGTTCAGTACAATGGCAAAGTGAAGTAAGCCTTTGTAATGTTTTGTATGGTATAATAATATCGCCATATCTTAATTGAAATACATTTTTATTTTATTCAAAACCAAGTCTGTTGCTATTCAATTATTGCTGAACTGTAAAACGTTTTACGTTTGGTGAGCCCACCAACAACAAAAATGCAGTGCTCGACAAATTAAGTTATATATATTTTGAACAACTTTTTCTCTCTCTTTACACCCCCACGCATATGCATACACTTTGGTGGCCTACTACTCTACCTACTCAATACTACCTACAAAACTAAAATACAAAATATATATGTATAAATATATATATATATATGTATGATAACGATATATTAAATATTGTTGCAAAAAATGCTTAAAATGCTGGGCTTTTCAACTACTAACCAAACCAAACAACCAATTGACCAATTGGCTGGTCCCGGGCCTTGCATGTGCTAACTAATATAACTTCAACTTCAACAATGATCAGCGACTGAATGTCCTGGTAAGCACTGCTATCGATGAGCATGAGAAGCGTTATGGCATCGTATCCAATCGAAGCGAGTTCGAGAACCTCGAGGTGGAGCTTCCTTTGCGGCTTCGCGGTATATTTAATGATCGATCGGCGCGTTTGTTGCCGCGTAATACGTTCATTGATCAGCAGCAGCTACCCCGATCGCGTTCATCACTTCTAATGCTTGGGTCAGGCAGTGGCCGTGGTAATTTTCGGGGCTCCGCGCCCGATCTTAGTCGCAGCGTACCGAGTACGCCGATCATGCATAAGCATCAACGTGCCCAAATGCGTAGCGATCTGATGCTACCCGAGGAGGACGACGGTGAGGATCAAATGAAGCGTACGAGCGTGGTCACGTTGCCAGGAGAGCAACATTTGCGCTTGATTACCAAAATGCCAGTAAATGCGACACCGAATGAGTTGGTTAAGGTGGTAACCACAAACCCGCAGCTGAACAGCGCAGATGAAATGAAATCCAAGCCAGAGATGAGTACATTCAAGCAGACAACAACCCCACCGCCGCCAAAGACGCCCGAGGAATTGGGCTTGGTAGCGAATCGATTCGGACGCCCCGATTTGCAAGAGCCATCCGTAGAATTGCGCATACACGAGGGTCCCAAGTTGACGGCCCGTACACAGCACCTTCTGCATTCCACCTCATTTGCTATCAAGCGTCCGTCGCTGGCTAGCCGCAGCAGCGGACGCTCCTCGCTGAGCAGCGCCATGTCCATGAACAATATGCACGAGCTAAGCACTTCGACTCGCTACTACAGCGACGCCGAACTGATTTTCGATGCGGGACTCAAAGCAGCCGCCTTGCTGGATGAGGTTCAGCCACAGCTGCGCTCCACGCTGAAGCCCACACACAACGGCAGTGTCACAGATGACTTCTATCACGATTTATATGCGGCCAAGTACACGCTGCCACGTATAACCCAGCGCCAGCTCAGCTTGGACGATGACCCATCGGCTGCTTAAACATCCCCAAAAAAATTGGATATCAAATCACAACTTCTACAACAGCTACGAATCCGCTTACTAAAGCGGCATCTCTTAATATACTTTACTAATCCCTAACTACGCTACATTTTCTCTTTCATAACAATGCTTGCTTTTGGTGCTTAATATACACACGTGTACACTCACATACACCCACACTTACACTCACACATACCCACACACATCCACAGAAACACCACATCAATCTCTAACTATTCGAACTATCCAGATGTTGAAATTCTCATTTTTGTCAATTGCCACTACGAATTGCCAAAGTTATATATATTTTTTATTTTGTTAATTAAACAATTGTTTTGCCTATGATGCCAAATATTAAATATTGTTTACCTGCAACCGTTACATTCCATTTAGCAGTATTATTATGCAGACAGTACTTAGACCAAAAAAGCGAAGAATGTAATTAAAAAGCTGATAATGCTTATCAAGCATACCAAGTATATAAACACTTAACTTTAATCATATACATTTATGTATGTATATGTATGCATTGATATTCACTTTTATGAAGCTACACTATACACACATACATCACCACAAACATTACAACAACGCGCTGCTTTTCATATATATAAAAACGAAATCAATCAAAAAATGTAAAAATTATGTTAAAAACAAAAACCTTTTCTTGCCGGCTCTTCTTCCATTCGTAAAGCAACTACAACAGCGGCTGCAACAAGAGGTTAGTCTATGGGCCAGAGTGCTCTTAACTCTATTCTATCTAACTATAGCTGTCTCTACTTACAACGTATTTGTGTAACTCACTTAGCTATTAATGTGCATGCCAAGTATCAAATATTAAATATCAAATATTAAATTTAATTTTTATATACTGAATCTTAAACGTATTTAGTTGGATGTTGTGTGCTTCAAAAACTGTTATTGCGTGTGATAAAAAGTCTTGAAAGTTAAAAATGTATTAATCAAAAGCTATTTCAATTGATGTGTTTTTTATTGTGTTCAGCGTCTGGAGGAGACTTTCGCGCAGCAGCTGGATGAGATGGAAACCTTGTACGGCGGTGCCTTGATCGTTTCTATGCCCACAGATGCATTGCAGCGCGATCATTTCACGGGCTCCACGCGGAGCAGCCTAAGCTCCTATTCCGAAGGATGACTTCCACAAGCCTCATTAGCACACCAGCAGCAGCAGTAGCAGCTATGCAAAATTTGTCAGCCATCCCCAAAGGCTTGTAGGCTCAGTCCCAAATATATTAACACACTTACATATATATATAAATATATTTATGTATATATATGCACCTAGGTGTATTTATAGAAAATGCCAAGCAGCGCGTCGTTCGGGTCAAGCTAAGATTTGTGTCGTTAAATTTAAGGATAAGACTTAATTTTACTTTTTTTGCATTGTATTTTAGCCTACTTATTCAATTACTCATACTTACTATATATATCTATATATATATATATACATATAACTATGTACATGTCCTATCTGCAACTCTCGAGTAAATATCAATTATATATATATATATATATATATATATATATATATATATATATATATATAAAATAATTGTATATAATTTGTTATCGAAACAAAAAATAGACAAAAAGAACATGAAATAACAAAATCAACCCACACACAGATCCTTTGTTGACCTTATCGCTGTTGTAAATATACTTACATACTTATATATTATTCACACCTGATGAGTAAGCCATATGTGCTTATATGTTATGATGGTATGTGAGAGTTTATCAAAAATGATGTGAAGCATCTTAAAAATGTGCGAATTGTGTGAGAGCTGAGATTGAGAATTGAGACAAGACAGAGAAAGAGAGTGAAAGCAGGCCTTGCATTGCCGCTAGAGTATGATAAAAGATATTTATATTTGGAAAAGTTTATGCTTATATAAAAATATATAAATTTAATATAAAAAATCCAAGAAACAAAAAAAATTTAAAATATATACAAAAAAGACCAAAACGCTAGATTTGTGACTCTTGATTTGTTTGGTATTTACTTAGCCCAAAAGTTTCCAATGACAAGGCTCAGTTTTTCAAGGTATAAAACTGCATTCAATTAATTTGGATAACGCCACCTGATTTTGATGTGCTTAATATAAGTATTGCAACATTTTTTATCTTAAAAATTAAATTTATAAATATCAATTTTCCTATGAACGCCAACCATTTTCCGCTATGGAATCTAGAGCTAAAGACTTGATATCATGAGAAACACTAATGTTTAAATTGCCAGAGACTTGCAATTTTTAATATATGTACTTGGATTGACAGCCCAAGATCAAAAATGTATAGTGCTTATATCTTCGTTTATAGGGGGCGTGACAAACCACAGAAGCTCATATCTTTTAAAGTTTTAGATAATATAGTTACTGTTGATAAGCCTTTTGTGGCGTAGCAAATCGAAAAATGGAGATGACAGCGCTTGGACCACGAATGAGTATTATGCGGCCAGTAGGGCCCGACGTCAACGCTCCCACTTGTATTTATTGATTACACTCTATTTACCAATTTTCAAAAATAATGCATATATATATATATATATATATATATATATATATATATATATATATATATATATATAAGCATGTTGTGGAATATCCGACTCCTGAATTGATGAAGGGTTGACCACTTCTGAATACTACATAAGAATATTTAACATAGGAAAAGTCCCTCTACATATATATCATTCATGTATATATATAAATATATATATACGCAAGTATATATGATATACAAACTAGAATAGTGCCCATGGGGTTTAGATGACCAGCTTGCTTGTCAGCTGCCGGTTCGCTTTAGCTCTTGGTCAGTTGGCTGGCCATTGTCGTCCAGCTTAAGCGCAACACAAGTTGCTATTAATAAAAGCGAAGGCAGCGAAACAAGCGAATAAAATAAAAGTTTCAAATACACTCTTGGCATTATTTAAATGAAATGTGAGAATGCGCTTTTTCAGGCGCCCACTTCACAGACCCACTGAATGCCCTAACATGCCGAAGCACAAGTACATCGTCATCGTCATCGTCGTCATTATCATCAACATCATCATCGCCATTGTGCCCCTTCTTCCATCATCCTGTAAGTCCCATTCAGAGACATCCTCTGCTGACGCTGTTCAGCCTGATGAAGAGCATAAACAGCAACTGTGCTACAGTTATACAGAAGCATGCTTGAGCCAACGTCCCCCTGGGGCACAGGCTGCTCTGCCTCCTCCTCCTCTCAGCCAGCTAGGCAGTCAGCAGTCAGCAGTCAGCAGTCGGCAGTCGGCAGTCCAGCAGTTGAGCATTTGGACTCTGCACTTGGCTGCTTGCGGCTCTTTCATTCATATTCATCCATTTAGCGTGTGTTTTGTGTTCTTATTCTGTTGTTGCTGGTGCAACTTAACGTTACACTGCACAAAAATGGAGCTAATCCGAATTGAAATTAGTAGAATAAATATATATATTACATCATGTCATATAAATTAAATGCTCTTGCTGGTATGCATGCCCTAGTCATGTTAGATGTTTGATTAACATTCATCGCTGTGCTTTTGTTTACTTTATAATAATTATTGCAGCGGAAAAATGTTGCATGTGCTTGGTGAGTGGCGTATATATATAAACATATATAGATATATATATATAAATAGTACCTGGTATATAAATAAATAAATATGTATATATATATATATATATATATATATATTGACCAGATGGTACTAACCCGAATGGACCTTATCTCTTAAGGAATTGGCCAATTAATACGCGTTTCTTTTAAAAGAAAGCTTATTCCACAATTAATATTCTATACAGGCATAAGTAAATGTATTAGTTTAATATGTATATCATAAATATTCATATTATAAATATTTATAGTTTTTACATTTGCAACAGCCAAATGCATCGGAAGTATTAAGAAAGGCAATTGCTCAGTGTATAAACACATACGAGAAAGCACTCACAGACACAGATACAGGCAAATACGCACACACACACACAGATGTGCGCACATTTTAAAAGTTTTTCCGCTTTTTCTCACCCACACACACATTAGCCGAGCTGGGGCATTATTGAGGGTGTTGCTGAGGATGCTCGCCGTGTTGCCCAACAAACACAAATTCCAGCACAAAGCGAAAGATAACAGCTTTGATACACAGACACAGGCACGCATAGGCGCACACACACAGACACATCTACAGGCCCGCAGTCACACCCACATCCATGGTTAAAAGTACTCACAGCTTCCTGACTGGCCACAGCCGACGCAGAGAGAAAGAACGAGGGAAGTGAGAGAGTGCTGAGTGAACGCGCGCATTCGGGTTGTGTGTAGCTCTCGCGGCAAAGGTACCGTTAAGGTATACGCTTCAAGCTTTTAGTTTCAGTCCCGGACGAGATTTAGCAACGTGCGCTTGGCTTTCATCAGCAGCTCAGCTCTCCAGCTGGCGGCGAACGCGTGCAACTCGCAACGTGAAAAAATCAACGATTATTTATGGGCGGGCAGCGGATTAGATGTACGCTAAACACACGCTACAATAAATAATTTGTTAATATAGTCTCGACGATTTAGCAGAACTGTCGTGTAAACGCGTGCACTGTTCAGCAAATAGTTCGAATCCAAATTATAAAAAAAATCGCTTTGTATTTGTATCTATAACACCAAAGCATAAATTTGATTACAATGTTAAGCGCAGGCCGAATGTAAAAACTTGGGGGCCAGCGCACACACGCGAAGCGCGTCAGAGCGTCGGAACGTTGACGGCGGCGTCGACGTCAACGTTGACGCAGCGGCCCGCAAAATTTGCGAAGCAAAAAAAAGGCGGAATGAATTCAGCCAGGCAGCGACGCTGACGCCGAGGCTGATGCCAGCAAAGATGTGCGCGCACAATACGAAAAATTACAAAGCAGACTTTTGGGAGCGGCAAATGGCCAAAATCAACAACAGCAGCAGCAGCAGCAGCAGCAGCAGCCAGCAGCAGCCAGCAGCAGCCCGCAGCGGCAACAGCAACAAGAACAACAATGTCAACGCTACAACGGACGCTGAGCGTTCACAACTAAGCAATAGAGTGGTGAGAGTTAAAGCACACACACACAAGCCGAGCGACAGAGAGAGAGAGAGAGAGAGTGAAAGAGAAAGAGAGAGAGGCAGAGTGAGAGACTTTGGTAGAGAGTACGAAAGCACCAGAGCTTGCGCTGCCATGTAAGTTCTGAGAGCAAGAGCGAGGCTGCCGCGTGTACGCGTATGCGTGTGTGTGTGTGGGTAGGAACGCCGAGTTGGTGTTGCTGTTCGCAATGCTCTCGTTTTGATTAAGCTTGCGAGTAGGTCGGATCGGGTCGGTGGGGCGCGGCAAACAGTTCGCAATATGCTTAGCATTGGGTCTGCCGCGAGCATAAGGTATAAGCAGTTAGCAGAAGCAATAGCAGCAACCAGCAGCATCCACCAGCAAAGCAATTCAATTTCCGCCAACAAGCAAAGGCCAGCGCCAGAGAGCCCAACAATTAACTCGCGTAAAGAAATTAACATAAAAGCTAAGCTAAGCAGCAGCAAACACACAAAAGTCTGCAGCTAGTTTGCTATTTTTCTAGTATATTACTTAAAAGCTTAAGATCCCAGTGGGCGGCTGTGAATGTGTGCATGTGTGGTGTGTGTGTGTGTCGTTGAGTGTGTGTATGTTGTGTGTTGAGCTAACTGGCTGCGCCCGCATCAAACGCTAAGAAAATTCTATATAAAATACTACATAAATTTCTACATAAAAACGTTTATAAAATTAAGGCAGCTGCTGATGAGCTGATCACGCTCGGAAGCATATGCATGTGTGCGTGTGTGTGTGCGAGTGTGTGTGTAGCTGTCATAAAAATAGCCTAATAAACTGGGAAACGAATTGCCGTGCATAGCCGCAAGTTAGTCGCGCGTTCACTTGTGTGTGGGTGTGTAAGTGTGTGTTGTGGCGTTTTCATAATAAATCCATAAATCCATTTTTTTCGGGCTCGGCAGGCAATTCGATTCGATTTTTCGCTAAGATTTGAATGTTACGTTAAGCCGACAGTTGGCCAAGATTGTGCCGCGCTGCCTGCTTTCCCAGCGTGAGCTGACGTGGCCAAAAAGTTGGGCAGGTTAGTCGGGCTAACACACATGAACAGATACGAACAGAGGCAGCGATAGCACAGGCGAAATTAGCTGTTGTTTCCCACTACTGCAGTTGTTGCTACTTGGCCAATTATTGCTGTTGTTGCCACTGGCAGAGCTCCAGTTTGCTGGCTTGTTTATTGGCCACCACCGGCCTCTCCAAGTGCCACCCACTGCGCTGCTTTGATTTACGCGCGGCAACAATTGAGATAAATATTCGGATTTCTAACTGATTTATTAACTGGCAGGCGTTCAATTGTCCTATGCTTGATCTGAGCTGGCCTAAATGACGAAAAGCATAGCAAAAAAGCGAGCAAGTTTTAAGTTTTTTCAACCTTTGACAGACCTGTGGACCTGTGGACGTATAGCTATGTGAAGATCTTGTTTCATTAGGAGGGCAATTCTCTTCATTTGCTATTCTCGACATTTAATTATAAGTTTTAAGTCCAGCACAACTTTTCCCTCGAGCTATGCATGCTAATCAAATTGCCTTTCCATTTAGCTGACTTTTCAAATACTTTTTCTGTACACACACAATTTCGAGCAGCGCTCGCTGGCTGACATTAGCTTGGCTAATGCAAAAGGACAGCAGCTAGGGGAACAAATTGACTCAATGCTGAACATGCTTCTAGCAGCCAATTTATACATGCGTCATCCAATTAAATTATTTGAAAAGGATATACGCAAATTATGCTCCATTTGTAATAGAAACCAACCAATTGAAGTCTGAAACTTCGAGGGTCTTGCTAAGTAGACGGATTGCTTAAATATAGAACAAAAAAATATATATGTTTTTTATTAAATAATATATTTGAGAAGTTCTATTATTTTTAAAATCTGTTATTATACTTTTCATAATTTTGCAATTTTGCAACAATTTTTAATTTATAACACTCTGAAAGCCGCTCTATATGGTTGGAAAACGTAGTTCTTGGTTATCCACAAAAGTATGCTACAAAAATGTTAAAAATGCTTTTGTTAAATGGGGTCTAAGTGTTCTAAGGTGTGTTTGAACATCCCCAACTTCCCATTATAAATACCACTTTCTAGCTTTAATTTATACAGTACTTTTGAAACTTAAATCAAAGAATTCAAGATTTATTTTGTAAATATGGAAAAAGGGAACGAAAATAAGAACATTAAATTGAGTAAGGGGAGCAATGACTTGCATATATTCCAAATTTAAGGGTTCGACTTCAAGCGCCCCACTCAAGGCCTTATTAACATTTAATTTCTGCTCAGTTATTTTTAGATTAGATAATTTAGAAGTTAGGGAAATATAAATAGATATATATTATATTTTAATATGTATAATAAATGAAAGCTCCGTTCACTTTGGTATTGTTGAATACAATTAAGCTTGAGCTTATCTAAATGTTGGCCTAACTCAAACCCTTTCGCCTCTCACTTTGTATTGCTGACTGAGAGATAATCAAATCAGAAATCTCACCAGGACAGAGCATGCCTGCAATACTCTATTTAGAGCGATTTTAATACAGTGTGAAATGCAACGAGAGTTTTATTTTCCGGCTGGATTGGCACTGCCTTTCGCATTTCATGGGCTGGCTAAGAGCTGTCCATTATCTGTTAATTCAATTGTTGGCCAATAGCACACACTCGCACATGTTTATTTTGGTCTCGGCTTAAAATGCCATCATTCAATTATAAACTTATTTCATTTATTTCTTATCATTTTTCACGCTCATATTTAGAAAGCCTTCTGACACATTTTGGGACTGATTTGTGGTGTTTGGAATAAGAATAAAATAAGAAAAATTTCAGACAAAGCTCGAGCATTGAGGCGATCAAACAATAGTGAATTCCGAGTGCTGTCAACGCGGCTGAGAATAATGGTCGAAATTTCCAATTGACTCAATACGAATCAATCAGGCCGCATATCATGTCAGAAGCATCAGTGAGCGAGGCAAGCATTGAGTACACCCCCGCACCACGCAGCGTAGACGTCGTAACTTATTGAAAAACTTTCCAAATCAAAACACAATGTGTACCTATGGGTGAGTGTGTGTGTGTGTAGCCAATGACAACATCAATAGTTTCGCAAAGTGTCAGAGGAAACCGCCTTGAACATTTCCGTGCCAAAGTGCTTGGTCGAGGGAGGTGAAGCAGGCAGAGCGGGAGGCGTGCCGAGGAACTGCGCCTGTGTTCGAGTCGATAGCCAAGTTTTTGCCTACGCTGACTGTTGCATGTTCTCCCATTGTTGGCACAACACCAACAACAACAGAAGCAGAAGCAGAAGCAGAAGCAGAGCTAAGCGTGGGCGTGGCATGTTTATCTGTTACTGTTACTGTGCGACTGCAAAGGAAAGGAAACGCATTCAAGCAGTTTTTCATTTACATTTTCATTAAAACAAATCACACTGAAAATGTCATTTGCAAAAAGCACAAAGCAATGCCACCGCAGGCGCCTTCTTCCCTCCATCTCCCCTCGCTCTGCCTCTGGTGTGTTTTCTTTGAGCAAGTGGGCGGTTGGTGTTGGGGCTTCTGCTTCTATCAAAGGCCTGCGACAGCTCATAATTCTCTGGTTTCTTATTTATTTATTTTTTGTTTGTGTGCTGCCTTTGCAGGACCCGTACAAAAATGCGCACAAGTCAGGCGCCAGTGTTAGCGCGTGGGTGCAACAAGGATAAGCAGCGGCAGCAGCAGCAGCAGCAGAAGCAGCAGCAGCTGAAGCAGCTGCAATAGCAACACAAACGCCTGGCCATTTGGAAATCACAACTCAACTAAGCAAAGGCGAGACCAAGCATATAGTATATACAATATATACTACATTCTAAGCAAAAGGAATAAACTCAAATCAAAGAAAATCAAATATCACGCATACGCCATGGAGCCAGTCATGAGTTTGGCATTGGCCGCCCATGGGCCGCCCAGCATACTGGAGCCGTTGTTTAAAACCGTAACTACGAGCACAACCACAACAACAACCACAACTGCTGCCACCACAAGCAGCAGCAGCAGCAGCCCCACTATAAGTCCCACCACCAGCACCACCTTGTTGACGGCTCTGCTTGAGAACTTAACCTCGACAGCTGCGAGTGGTTTGTACGATCCGTATGGCAATCACACGAATACCACGCTGGGCTTTGAGACGAAAGGGCCGAGGTATTCAGTGGCGTCGATGCTGGTTATGGGCTTCGTAGCGGCGATTCTGAGCGCGGTAACAGTTGCTGGCAATCTCATGGTAATGATCTCGTTCAAGATCGATAAACAGCTTCAGACGATCAGCAACTATTTCCTCTTCTCGCTGGCCATTGCGGACTTTGCGATTGGCGCCATCTCGATGCCCCTTTTTGCGGTCACGACGATATTGGGGTATTGGCCGCTGGGGCCGCACGTGTGCGACACCTGGCTGGCCCTCGATTACTTGGCCTCAAATGCCTCCGTTCTCAACTTGCTTATCATCAGCTTCGATCGATACTTCAGTGTCACCCGACCGCTGACCTATCGCGCTAAGCGCACGACCAATAAGGCGGCCGTCATGATTGGTGCTGCCTGGGGCATCAGCTTGCTGCTGTGGCCGCCCTGGATCTACAGCTGGCCCTACATCGAGGGCAAGCGCACGGTGCCCAAGGACGAGTGCTACATCCAGTTCATTGAGACGAATCAATACATTACCTTTGGCACAGCGCTAGCTGCATTCTATTTTCCTGTCACGATCATGTGCTTTCTCTACTTTCGCATCTGGCGTGAGACGAAGAAGCGGCAAAAAGATTTGCCAAATTTGCAAGCTGGTAAAAAGGATTCCAGTAAGCGATCCAATAGCAGGTGAGCCCAATTCCCTAACTTCAATTTATTTATGTAATCAAATACACAGACTGTAAACTATAAGGTATAATGGGTGGCGTGCGTTGTGTGTATAAAGAAAAGTATTAGAATTGAATTAAATTTATTTTTGTTCTTCAGCTGGATACGAGATTGAAAACTATTCTCTTCATGTGTAAAATATTACTGGCGCGTACGGCTTACGGGTCGTAAATTCTACGAATTCTTTCTTTATTTTTAAATTTTCTTTTGCGGAATAGTAGAAAACGAATATTGAAAATCATTTACAATAAGTTTTGAATACGTTTTTGATTAAAACGAGTAAAATATTAGTTCCGAAAAACTTCACATCTCAACTCAATTAAATTTTATTTTCAAGTTTTTGTTAAATTGAAAATAATTCGAATTCGACGGCAATAGACAAACTGTTGCAATTGCAGAGAGCATTCTATATTTTAACTCTTGTAAAAAAATTTATATATAAAAATAAATATAAATAAAAATAAATAAAATATCTGGTAGATTCTACCTATCTGATCTTGCTGAGCTGTAACTGTTTGAGAATTCTATGATTGCAGCTTTTGCCAATGTAACCAAACTTAGTGCTTGCCCTACGGTATATAACAGTAAAGTAGTAGAGCGTAGCTCAACAGCTGAACAACGGCGAAATATTCTCGTAGACGACAAGTCGAGTCGATTGGGCCTTGTCCGTCTATCTGTCTATGCGTCTGTCCGTATGTGTGAACCTATCGATCTCAGCATCTATAAGATCTAGAGTCTTGACATATTTTTTGTAGGTTCGTGTATAGCACGCGCATATCAAGTTTGTTTCATATATTCGATAACTATTTCCTTTAAATTGTTATCGAATAAAAACATGATCGAAACGCAGTTAATAAATTATGCCTCGTACGTCTTAAGGCTAAAGCTTGTTGGTTCGAATCTTGGTGTAATGTCGATTTTAATTTGGGATCGGGGTATCTCCTAGTCGGGCACCCCGACTAGAGCTTTCTTAATAGTTTGTATAGGCATTACATTTATATATATCAGATGTATTCGGCGTGCCATCCGTTTAGTAACTTTTAATCTTAGTTTTCACGGTTATAAGATATTTTATTTGCTTACTCGTTGTATATTGCGTATAAAAGCTTTCGAATCACATTTAGAAAAATTCATTGCATACTTTTGAGCGCTGAGCGTAAATATTTTTAACTATTAGCTACTTATTTATTCCTGTGCTCCATTTCAGCGACGAAAACACCGTGGTGAATCACACATCTGGTGGACTGCTGGGGTTTTCCCAGCTCGGTGGCAATGATCACGATACGTGGCGACGGCCGCGCTCAGAGAGTTCGGCAGATGCGGAAAGCGTTTACATGACAAACATGGTCATCGATTCGGGATATCATGGCATGCACTCGCGCAAGTCGAGCGTAAGTTGAATATGAATACTCAGACTGTTTGCGACTGCTTTTCATATGCTTTTCTCTCCCTTCCTTACGCCTGTCTATATATTCAAATATATATGCAGATCAAGAGCACCAATACAATCAAAAAACCATATTCATGCTTTGGAAGCATCAAAGAGTGGTGTATCGCGTGGTGGCATTCGGGCCGCGAGGATTCCGACGATTTTGCCTACGAGCAGGAGGAGCCATCTGATTTAGGGTATGCAACACCAGTAACAATTGAAACTCCTTTACAAAGCTCCGTCTCCAGGTAGAACAAAAATCAGCTCTCTTTATAATCGTCTTATTTCGAGTAAGCAAACACCGCACCCAGGCACACACGCATGTACCCACATACACACACACACAGACACGCACACACGCACTCACACATACACACACATGTGGGCGTTGCATGTGTATGTCTCGCAACTCAAATGCACTCAGAGCACTTCATTCTAAAAGACAAACCCGATTCGCCTGTCAATAACTCTCCTCAGGGAGCAGCAGGAAATAATTTCACTCGCCATCACACAACAGTTTCACTTTGCACATACATGCACAGCCAATAAAGAGCACACTGCGCACCCGAAAAGTATTCTCACTGCACTCCAGCTATACAGCTCGATGCACACGCATGGCAGGACCTCAACAGAGTGTTTGCCTTTTTGACAACTGCTTTTTATGACTTTAAATGGCTCTTTGTTTGTCATCATCATTCGCGAAGGAAAAAAGTTTGAGCTTGCTTAAAATCCGTTCTGCTGTCCGTCCGTCCGACCTTCGTCTGTTTTCACGAACGCAAATCAAACCTCGAAACTTGTAATTTGAATATGTACTCGTGGGCAGCTGTGTCCGATAGTGCTTACGTTATCCCGATACAATATCTTCTGTTACCTAAGCATTGTTGTTTAGAGTTTGACAGACTTGAACTTTGGATTACATAATCGTATTGAGCATCCACAATCGAAAACATATAGAGGATTTAGATACCGGGTAAAGCTGTAAATCTCACAGCATTATAATTAAAGCGTGAGTTCCTGTTAAGTAACTCTGTAGAGTGACAATAAATAAATTGGACTGTGCAGTCGGCGCTCGACTGCAGCACTGTTTTGTAGTTTAGGATTATTTGCTTTATTGAGCTCAACTTTAGTTGGAAAGTCGATGAAATTTGATTAAATTTTTTTTTGAACGAACTTTCGACAAAACCAATTTCAGTTTCCAAGTCCCTTTCGCCGACATTTCCATTTCTGTGCGCTAATCACCTGCGTGAAGAGGTGTGCGACTGCTTGTGTGTGTGAGTGTGTGGCTGGTTGTGGGTGTGTTGGCTGTTAGAGTTAGCAGTTTGTATTCGCGGCTCCATTTCGATTGTTGTTGTTGTTGTTGTCGTTGCTTGTCAGCTGTAAGGCTTGTCAATGTCGAGCACCCGATGTCTTGTGGCATGTGGAAACTTATTAAAGAGCGACATGCCTTTGTGTCCCTTTTATCGTTCGCAGATGCACCTCGATGAACGTTATGCGGGACAACTACTCGATTGGCGGCAGTGTTAGCGGGGTGAGGCCGCCGAGCATAATGTTGGCGGATGTGTCGCCGACGCCGTTACGCCCGCCACTCAATTCCATTTCGCAAATGCAGATGCAGGAAATGAACGCGACCGGCAATGGCAACAACGGCAATGTCAACATCAACATCAGCATCAATAGCGGCAATGGTGTTGGAGGCGGCGGGGGCTGCGGCGCTGCTGTCAGCAACAACAACAATCTGAACGGTGGTGGCGCCAACAACAACACGAATACCAATACTCTTCGTGACTCGAGAACCCTCCCCGTGAGCAATCGCATCGGCTCTCGTTCGGTCAGTCAGGACTCGGTCTACACAATACTTATCCGCCTACCGCCAGATGGCGCTAGCACGGCAACCGGCAGCAGCGGCGCAGGCGGCGTCAGCAACGCCATGGGCAATCAAAGCGTTCATGGCGAGTGCGGGCCCTCCATAAAGATGATACATGAGGATGTGTCGACGGCGGGTGCAAGCAGCATGGGCGTGGTCACGTCAGCACCGCCGCCCACGCGTCGTGCATTGCCGTCACGCGACTCGGAGTTTAGCCTTCCGCTAGGTAGACGCATGTCGCATGCCCCGCAAGATATGCGGCTGCTCAATGCGAAGGTTATACCAAAGCAGCTAGGTAAGACGGCCGGGCAGAATGCCCTGCTTAATGCGCGAAATGCGGCTAAAAAGAAGAAAAAATCGCAGGAGAAGCGACAGGAATCCAAGGCGGCCAAGACCCTGTCGGCCATCCTTCTCAGCTTCATCATCACATGGACCCCCTATAATATTCTAGTACTGATCAAGCCGCTGACCACCTGCTCGGACTGCATACCCACCGAGCTGTGGGACTTTTTCTACGCCCTCTGCTACATCAACTCAACCATTAATCCCATGTGCTATGCGCTGTGCAATGCCTCCTTCCGGCGCACTTACATACGCATTCTCACCTGCAAATGGCACTCGCGTAATCGCGAGGGCATGGTCAGAGGCGTATACAACTAGGGCGATCAGTTCATACCAGTTGCAATAAATGTTGTGAACACAATTATTGCGAAATGCGTAAAAATAAAACCGAATAAACGAGAAATTGTTAGCGAAAGCAAAACCAAAACTAGGCTTAGGTAACACTTTGATAAGCAGTACTGATTTTTGATGTCTAGCCACCAATATATAAATATATTGAGGAACGTATAACAAATAAATATATAAAGATATATTTGTCATACCAATTTGTCTGGGCTGCTCAATTAGTTTTCCATAAGTCAAATGTTCATTTTCGGCCACAATAAATTCTGTTTAAGTCTTTTAAAGACAGTATTTATGTGAAATATCTAAAAACAAATTTTGTTTAATTTGATTTGAATTTAAATAAGTTTACTTCTAACAATATATTTCCTGCTTTAACAAAAATTATAACATTTAAACAAAATCGTCTTCCATTTGAAATCATCTTCCCAACTTGTATTCAGTGCCAAAATAAATAACTGATAAAAATATATAAAATGGTAAAGTGAAGATTACATTTGCGACTTAAGCTTGAAGCACAAATACTTTATCATTTACACAAACCAACAATTTTCCCAACACACTAAATGTGGCATTTGGGATACTTATTGAGCAGCCCTCGAAGCTTTTCCGGATCGCTACCTTATAAGCAACCATTTTGTTAGGCGTTTACTTTTAGGTAGGCTCCATGCTCCATGCAACAAGAATTTAATACAAATATAAACGATTACGATTTGGAATACATTATATATATATATAATAATTAATTTAAAGAAAATATAAATGTGGTTAAAATTGTTGGCGTACGCGAATAAAACCCGATTAAAAAAGCTTTAACACAGTTCAGATAACCGCGGGCAACGAATCGCAGTGGGCACTTTTTCCAGTTGAGATTTAGCTTTTGGCCAATGCCATTTCAGGATTTTGGTCGGAACGATGAGGCGATCTGTGATTGGACTGCTCGTTGTGTTTTTGATAAGTTTTGATATTTTGAATCATCTTTTGTAAACCACGTAAATGTTTAAGTACCAGACGAGCGAGAAGCGAATAAAGAAGCAAATAAGCAAAGATACCAAACATCAACTATGCATACACCATGCCAGTTTATAGTATTAAATGAAAAAAAAAAAAACAAGAAAAGTAACACAAGTATATGTATCTAATAAGAACGTAACCCACCATAGTTCAACTACTAAGAACAAACTTTTGTAACTGTTGATTAAAACTTTGTAAAAAAAGAAAAACTCAAGTAAAAGAAAAAATACTTAAGGAACTAAAGATACGATTGAAAGTTTATCCAAACTAATGGCTAAAGCAATATCAAATCAGGCACGCCTCACACTCAAGAGCGGGCAGTCGATGGAGAAGTATTCTTGAACATCTCTACATGAGTATTTGAGTTATGGAAAGTTTCGCTTGGTAACAAAAAAACTGCCAACAAAGGTGACAGTGAGACGGAGTACGAGAGAGCGGCCCCAGAAAGAGAAAAGGCTTTAAACAAATCAATAGCAGCCTTGAAGCTATCCATAAGTATGAGTATTTGACTGCTGAAAAGTTTTGCTTGCAGCGAATTAAAGACAGGCAGCATAGACAAAGGTGGCCCAATATTTAGTATATATTTAACAAAGAGGTTGTGCCGTTGAGAAACACATCAGTAAATACATTTCGCAGCGGGCCTGTCAAGCAATAGAGCTAGGACTTATCGGTGGGTTTCAGTAGGGTTTGACTGTGCATATACCTCCATCGACTGCCCCAAATTGGGTTACATATTAAGAGCCTGTTCCAAAGCACCAACAAACTAAGAAATGATAATGTTGAAAATATATGAGAAATAAATAACATTCAATAGCTTAAGCCAAAGACTAGCACACAAATACTTATATCGACGATACATAATGTGAAAAGCGAAATGAACAAAAGAAATAATCCTTTTTATCAATTTGTAGTTAACTTAAACAAGACACAAAACAAATTGGATAACCCAATCGAAGTGGTATCCCAAACGCTGAAATCAAAATAACATTTGTAGTCTCAATGGCACAGCTCGAGTATATATATAGACATATATAAATATACAAAATAAGATATATAAAATTAATATTACAGTTTAAAGCAAACTAAAAATATGAAATTCCAAATACTAAGACCCAAAAGACATGATTTACAACCACGCACACATCCAAACGAGGCATATATTAATATTAACATATATGTCTGCAAACAAGCCCAAATTTATTATATAGATCAAATAGATCACATAGTTCGCAATTTGTGAACGCAGGCAAAGTGGAGGCTGGTTACCCTAGTGGAAGAAGATTGAAGCACTCAGCATATTGGTATGGAATGAGATTTAATTGTATACAATCTAATTGTTTAGAAATGTACTACGATATATGACATAATAATAATAAAATTTAAAATACATATATGAATTAATGCTAACAATAAAACAATTTGAACGAAACGATCAACACAATCAGTTTTTTCTATAGCACTTTTTCGTGCTGCTGTGAATGAAGACATAATAAGTAAGTACTCTGTGTAATAGCTGAATAATTTATTTTCTAGCTTTATTGGCACAGATATTTAAACTATTTCTTTTTTTTACAGACAGGTTCCACATGAAAATCCAAATTTCTACTGTCCATTTTCCCGCGATTTGATGAGATTCTTAACAGAACCTCAAGTGTCAAGCACTTAAGCTCTGAGAGATACAGTTTTAAGCCTATTCACCATGCTTTGAAATTATAATTTTTTCACTTATATTGATCAGGGGTTGCGAATGCAAGTATATTCAAAATAACAAGTTCATAACACTTTAAATAATAGTGCTTCTATTATATAAGATATAGTAATTTGCATTATTTGCATTCACTTCGAGAACGAATGATAAATTCTTCTAAGAACATATATGAAAAGAATAGAAAGAGTCCGTCTGTTCGTCCAACAAAAGCTTGAGATTTGAAATTATAAATATATATTCCTTCAGTACGAGATTATCATTTTGTTTTGTGATAACTCATGACATTTCCTTAATATCATTGTAAATAATTTGATTATGTTTCTCTTGAATTCGCCAAACCTTAAAAACACTCAATTTTCTGTTTGGGTTCTTGTATCGAAACAGAGATTTGCAATATTTCACATAAATAAATGACATTATCATGCTCTGAAAAATTGTTCAGAAAAGTTAATTCAGAATAAAAGTTATTCAACAATTGAGTTCCTAGAGCATAGCCCAGTATGCAGAGCTGTCCTTAGGTGTTTGTGGGTATACATGTGTGTATCGGTTATAAAAGAAAATAGAAGAGGACTTCTTAAATTATATTTATTATTTTTATTTTTATATTATATTATATTTCAATCAATATTGGTGCTAAGACTGGAAATTTAGAAAATATACTCGTATAGAGTTTGTATTTTTACTGACCTGACAAGTACTTCAATAGAATATGTAGATCATAATATAATAATTTAATAATAAAAATGTTATTCGTTTATCCAATCTGCAAAAGAAGAGAGCAAGTAGCTCCAAGCGATTTTTCATATATATGTGCACACATACATTCAAATGACTGTTCTCTATTCTATTCCATGAATTGTCCTTGAAGTGCCAACTGCTACTTAACTTGAGGTTTGCAACATTTTCGGGAATAACAACGAATGTGGCGCCATTCGTACAGGCGGCAGTCGTTGCCGGCAAGTCGTGGGTTCGGTGCCATGCGACTGGGGGACATTTTTTATTGTTATTTTTTACTTATGAATCCTGGTGTCGTAATCTCGGTTTTATTTGATTTTTTAATACTCGATACAAACTATTAAAAATATTTAGAAGCGCAGATGGGGCTGGGATCAGGGCATCTCCTAGTCAGGGACCCCGACTACAGATAATTGTTTTTTTACATACATGAAGTGGCGGTGTTAGTAGAGGTGATGGGTTGCAGATATTAGTTCGAGAAAGTGTGGAAAGTTTTTATAAACGCAGATCGGACAGAGTTCAGGGTATCACATAGTCAGATAACCCGACTATTGCCTATTTTAAGTTTTATTTATTTTCGATTATAGTTATTATCAACGTGCAGAGCAAGTGCCTTTTAAAATAGAGATATAAATTAACAATATTATGACATTCTCAATCAGATTAAAATGAAATAACCGAAAAATATATATTTAATAATAAATAAATATTTCTAAAGCGCCAAAGATTGAATGGCTAAGAAAGCATTTACAAAAAAAGTCGAAGGAATTTAATAACTTTAAAATTTCTAATCACTTCAATATTTTTCTTTCGAATATTTTGCAAGTAAAGAAAAAACATCAGAATTAGTTAATTAAGTCGAATATAGACATAGTACAAATAATTAAAAATAAAAAAATAAAAAATATATTTATATTTTACTATAAATATTTATTATAATTTGTCATTGGCTTATTCCATTATTATTTTCCACATTATTCGTGCTAGAATATTAAAATTTTTTATATTATTTTTCGAGAGCGCATTAAAAAGAAATGTATATATATATATATATATATATATATATATATATATATATATATATATATATATATATATATATATATATATATATATATATATATATATATATATATATATATATATATATATATAATTTTCTTGTTTAGGTAAATTTGTGCATTTAAATTAAAATATTTGAGATATGATTATATTTTCGTTGATCGTGTATTGAATTCTGTCCATTGACCCTCTACTAGATAAAGCGGGTAAATGTGAAAGGTGTGGTTTGGTAATGCTAACGACCAGGGGTGACTTAATTGTCAGTAGAGTCTTGGTGCTCCTGCTCTGGATTTCTGGTTTGTTCCTCTTCGAAAGTGTGCTCTCGCGTTAGCATCTGCGTATTCTTCTGAATGGCCTCCAGCTTCTGCTGCATTAGCTCCTGGCGACGAGCCTCGGCTCGCTGCTGTTTATCGTCTATCTCGTCGAGTGTGAGTGGTTCCGTATCGGCGGCTTGTTGCATTAGCTGCTGCAGTCTCTTGGGTGGCTTTCGCAACGTGTCGTTCAACTGGATTGTTGCATTAGCGGCATCGTCGAGGGGTATGGTGAATGCCTCAGAGGGCGCTGCTTGATGGGCTTTATTGATTATATGGGCACAGTTAGTTGAGACCCGCTCGGACTACTTACGGTATTCCTGCTTGGGCAAGGCGTCCATTTTGTTAGGCCTTGTTTTTGCTGTCTCGTCTATCGTTGTCGTGGACTTGGAATTAGAGCAGCCCATGCTCGACAGCTCATCAGGCGCAAGGCATTACGCTAAAACTTCCGTTTGGGGCTGAGGGCTTAGGGTTCGGTTGTATGGTCTCTGACTTTTAAAAGGAATCAGTTGAGCTCGTTGATGTTGATGCTAATGCTAATGCGATTTCCTGCTCGGCACTGGAGCTACATCCGTCGTGATTCGTTCTACGTTGTGGCTATTCAATTTCCGCTTCAAGCCAAGTCGACAGCTCAGTCATTAAAAGCAGCTTGAGACTGCGTTTAATGGCTCATTAATATTGATTTCGTATATTAGTGCACGTATCTGTGGCTGTATTTGCATGCGAGTGTGTATGTGTAGCAGGACTTGCAGGAGACAACCTTCAAGCTGTCCGCTTGACAGCGCTTCGCATGGAGAACTGAAACTAGAATCGCAATGCAAATGTTTTGCGCTGGTCATTAATAATAATCGCTGGGGTGCAGTCAGGACAACTGTCCCCTTAAAAGATCAATATTCATATATGAGCGGCATGTTTATTATTTCTATCTATCTCTCACATGTTTATACCCTGAAGCCTTTGATAATGACAATTCATGGCACATTGATTTTCTGAAAATTAATGTGACAGGCAGAAGAAGGTGTGGCAGACCCCATAAGGTTTATTTATTCTTGATCTGGACGACGAGCTGAGTGATTCAACAATTAAGTTCTCGTAGTATATAAGCACCTGCTTATGTGTGTATATGTGTGTGCATAAGTGTGCATGTATTGCTTGTAATGTATGTATAAAAGAAGAGTAGAGCGAATGGAATATCAGCCATTAATAGAGTTCAGGGCATCTTCTAGTCAGGTAGTCCCGATGAGCGCTTTCCTACTTGTATGCACTGAAACACATTTGTATATTTAATCATAAAATTAAAAAAATAATATATATACATGTAAATATATTTTTGCATAGAAACTATTTTTGACAGGATTAATATAATTTAGACAAAACTATATTTTATTTTGATAAACAGTTTCCATAACAATTTAATATACACTTACTATAAAGTTGCGAAAGTACATTTAAGCTTAATTGGGCAAAAGCACAAAAACCAAATTATTGATACTTTAAAAGAATATTTCTCGTAAATGAATTGTGTTTTAAAATAACACATTTGGAATAGAAAAACTTTTTGTCAATTTTAGTTTCGAAGTTTAAGATTTTTGAGCATTGTCAAATTGAATATATTAAATTGAAGAATATTTTTAAATACCCCTTAACAATATGTTTATTTAAATGAAGAATTTTGCAAAATTAGCTGCCTATTTCTTATCGTGTAGTTGCGTGAGCGTGGATAATGAAGGCTGGCAAAACAAATACAGCTAGACAGCGGCCACGCCCAGCTATTCATATAGTGCCGTGAAAATGGACAGTAGACACTGAACACTGGACACTGCAGGCTAATGTCAGTCAACTGCTGCCCGTGGCCATAATCAACGCTAATTGCGGTTTCATTTGCGTGCACATACTACATACATGCTACCCACGCGCGAACGGCCACACAGACACACACACACCCGCACACTCTCAGAGCCACATGCTACACAGCCGTGTGCTGCAAAGTTTAGTGACCCACTCAACTTTGACCAGGCCGCAAAAGGTTTTATTTTGATTTTTACAGTTGGCAGTGTCAATGCTGTCGCATGGCCATAAAGGCCATGGCCCAAACTCTAACGGCTTCCGGCTCGAAAGCTTGTCCAAGAGGTGCTACGGAAGCAACGGCGCGTGCCAAGCACCGCACAAGGCGTCCACACATTCATTTTGCATTTGGCTCACGTTGAGTCTTTTGTGGCCAAGTGGCTGCTCTTGGCATGCAAATGGCTTGGAACGGAAGCAACGCCGTCGTCATAGCCACTTGCCAACTGCCCCGCCAATCCAACGAAATACAAACGAATGGGCTAAGCACTAAGAACAACAGGTGCCACCATCAAGAGAGTGGCTTGCCCCGCCTCCCATTCAATAGAGCCACTAAGTAATGAGCGACGTTTAATTAGGTTGAGTGTCAATAAGATGATGTCGTCAATCAATCAATCGCACACACACACACATTAAGCAAACAGCTACATACCAAAAGCTATTCTTACTAGTCGTTGTAGTTGTCACCGAGGTCGCAAGCAAAACATATGTGTATTTATTTATGTAAGTGTATTTGTACTGCGCGTTGTCGGGTCACCTTCACGTTCTCCGTTTATGTCAAATATTTATATTTAATATATCATTCTAGCAGTAGTCCTAAAATATTATATTTTTCTATCGGACTATGTTTTTTTCTTTTTAAAATAAAGTCAAATTCGATTATGAATCTTTCTTTTTTAAGACCAAATATTTTATTTTTTTGGAGACGCATTAGTATCTGGCCAACCATCATCAAGTTTATACATATTCTTAATGAGGGCGATAATAATGTGATAATTTGACTTCGTTTCTAAGTGCAACTTGAATTCCGTAGGTGCTACAGATTTACGATTTACTCTGTCAGTAAAATGTAAATTGAGATTTTGTATATTTAGGATTTTGAATTTAGAACAAAAGTTAATCAACAATTAATTTTCCATAGCAAAGTCCGCTGCGTAAACTGCACGTTTGCTGCTGCTTATGGCTGTACGGGTAGAACAAGCGTAGAATAATTGGAATATCAGCTTCGAGCTGGGTTCAAGGTATTTCCTAGTCGGGCAGTCCCGCCCTGACTCGTGTCTTAATGGAGATAATTTATTCTATCGGTTAAATTTTTTTTGCCGCTGGAATCATTTGGTTTGGTGATTCAATGATCACATTTTTAGTTTCTTGCTCTAGAAGCTTAGCAGATATAGAGTTTTGCGGTTTGCTACGCTCTCTTTACGATTTTCCGAGGCCCTAGTGGGCAAAGACATATAATTTTCTGTAAAACCAGAAGAAGAATTTAACAGCACTCACATCATATTTTAAGTTGAAGCTCTAAAACTGTCGACGAGTGTGTGAGTAATTGTGTTTTGTTTAAAGATCTAGGACTCGGTTAGCCTCGCACACAATATGCAAGCCATTTTGGGTTATCAACGCATTAAATAATAACATTTTTGACGTACCCGATTTAGTATTTCCATATTATTCTAAATTTCGTTACACAAAACCAATATACTCTTTCACTTTCTGAATAAGTAGAAAAACCGAAGGCTGCTAATGACTTATTTTCGACATTCCTTTTGCATTAGAGGAGCTTTCGTTGTCTGAAATCTTATGGAAATCATTCATTGCATTTCAGTAAACTATTGCTATTATTAATAGATAAATATTTGTATATATTAATACGACCGATAGCTGCTAATCAGAACCATATCCAATGTATTTCGACTTTTGGAAATAATAAAATTTATTACCAAGCTGGAGATAAACATTATTTATCAGGTTAATTATATTAGTTAATCAAATCAATATAGTAATAAATATTATTCAATAAAGCTATTGTTATATTACTAAATTTTAATACCACGAACCCAATGAAAATGGGAATTCAGGGTATAATAGTTTTGGGAAAATGTATGTAACAGGCAGAAGGAGGCTGGACAGACAGACCCAAAGACATTAATTATATATTTTCTTACTCAGGAAGACGAGCTCCGCTTATCTATCTTGTTCGTGTTAATGTCTTTCCGTTTGTATTTACGCGTAATTGAGCATTCCATGTTTCATATTTCATATTTCATATTTCTGTATGCCACCCGCAGTAGAAGCTTATCACTCTTTTCCTTAAATTATCCCATTTATATTTTTATCTATAATATTTGATCATTTTCATAGCGTAACTTTAATACAACAAAAGACGAACGCATTCAATTTACTGTGTTGGTTCCTGCGTTTAAAACAGATCTTTAGTATATTCCACACATATGGATGTCATTAGAATGCTTTGAAAATTTGTTTAAGAAACTCCATCTAGAAGAAAACTTATTAAGTTCCCATAGCACAGCACAATTAAGAGTGTATGTGTGTGTGCGAGTATATAATTGTGTGTATATGTGTGTGCATGTGCTGTTTGTAGTGTATAAAGAGTACTGATTGGAAAATCGGCTCGTCGCAGGGTATCTTCAAGTCGCGCAGTCTCGACCAAGGCACTCTTATTTCCTTGGCTTATAAGACTTACCTGCCAATCACTGCAGTTAATGAAAGTTAATTAATAAGTCACTTTACTTAAATTGATTGTTTTCGGTTTATTTGAAAAATACAATTTAGAAACACTTTCTTAGTTTGTTGTTGTTCTGGCAAAAAATGGTATATGTGTATCATATAATAAAACAATATAAACTATTAACAAAGCAACTTTTTCATCTGCAGCTTAGGAACATCATCATCATTATCATGATCGTCATCCTTCTCATTAACTCCATTTCTGGTATTTAATCTCAATAAACTTGTAAACTTTATAAACTTATGCAAGTATCTGCCTCTGACAGCGTGAGGCAGTTCCCAGGCGAGCTGCGAAAGAGCCTGGCCCAGGATTTATATAGGTATAAAAATAATCTATACAAATATGATATATATGTGTATATATAGATATATATAACTTGGTGTGTGTGTGTGGGTGTGGGTGTGATCAGCGCCTGACCAACTTTATCATAGATGCATGTATTCTATGGATAGACTTGTATGTGATTACGTGTATGTTAAGGGGTTTATATATATATACATATATATATATGTATATATATATATATGTAAATATATGTATATATATATGTATGTGTGTGTTTTGTCTTGCATCGCATGATTAGATTTGGATTTACAATATACTCAAAAGTGGTCATAAAAGCAATCTCCGTTTATGCCAATCACTATGCTAATCATATTCCTGTTTTATGGATAAGGCTTTTTCGGCACTTTTTTCAGACTTCGGATTAGAGCTCGTAGCCCCTGTCGTAGACTTGCCTTTGATGTAACTGGCGACTGTAGAGCTCAGCGGTATGGTAACATATTGATTGCCATCTGGAATTTAAATAATGTAAATATTTGATTAATTTTCGTGTGTATTTTAAGAGATAAAAGTGCACACAGTCATTGATATCCAATACTTCTCGTCAAATATATATAACTGTGGAAATATTCATATTGAGAAATTGAGATAAGAAATGTATACTAAAGATCATCAAACTAAAGCATTATAAATTGTTTTATTTCAGGTTTCTATTTCTTTTTCAGTTTGCTAATTCTAATTGATAAAAGCCCCTTATAGTCAGATCCGATTTTTCAGGACCCTAATGATTCGCCATAGCCTAGGGGGCATAGATTTATCCACTATATTTTACCAGATGTAGTATTTTCCAACTTGTCACGCCCCTAGTAATCGTGTAGGGAAATCATTAAGCACTATCAGATGTCGGCACCCAAAAATATATATTTCAAATTTCTGAACTCTAATGAGAAATTGAGACGAAATGGTTTACGCTCATACGGACAGACTGACGGACAGCAAAACGAAATACCCGATTCACTGCTTGAATGAGTACAAGTGTAAGAACTCTAAGCAGAACTACAATATATATTTTAAAAACTCATATCTATTTATATGTTTGATATCTTTTACATATACAAGAAGTATATTGACTCACCTTCTTCAGCATGAATCTGCAATTGCCCCGATTGTATTAGATGACGCAGCATATCCGGCGGTATATTGGCAAACGAGGTAGCCGGATAAACGTATTTGCTATCCGGAGCTGTTGCTGCTGCTGATGCTGATGCTGCTGCTGCTGCTGCTGTTGATGCTGCTGCTGCTGCTGTCGACGTCGAGGCTCCCGTCTCAGTCTGATAGATTAATGCGGCTGGCATTGATTTGGGCAAAGCAGCGGACGTTGCTGCTGTTGTGGCTGCTGTCGCCGCCTTAAGCTCTTGTGTTGCTGGCTTGGTACCATCGCCATCGGCTGGCAATGGCATTTCGACATCCGAAGAGTCATCCGACTCGTTGCCCGACGATGTTGGGGAACGGTCATCCTGCAAGACAGTTATCAAGAGAGAGCGCAGAGATTAGAGAAATGCTGCAGCCAGACAGTCTGGTCTGATCTTAAGCTAAAGATGAGCTGCCTGCATGGCTGGCCACGCCGGGTTGTTCTATATGCCAGCCAAGTAAGCGGCGGTGTGTGTACGTGTGTCTGGCGCAAAAAGCAATATGCTTGCACCAAATATGGCGCGAAATTGCGTATAAGTGCTGGCCGCGTTGCTCGCAGGCACGCATTTCAATGAGCCATGAGCGCAGCTCGTTGCCTTAAATGTGCACACGCGTTAAAGAATTTAGAATATTGATTTCTGGCTCTGTAATCGAACGTGCAGGGACAACTCATCAGCCATCCACAGCGGCAACGACAGCGCTGCTGAATCGCATCATTTTAATTTTGATTAGTGTCTCAGGTAAAAATAATTGCGAACTGTAACAATGCGTTCGCCATTTTGTGGCACTGCGCATCGCAGCGTGCGCGGCTGCCCCAGCAACAGCAACAGCTACAGCAACGGCAACAGCGATTGCAACTGCAACTGCGTCATGCCATCAACTTCCAATGAAATTGTAGCAGCGACGCGTATGGCTAAATTGCATTGTTGCCACTGCACCACGCTTACCAAAATGGGCGTCGTCGTTGTCTGACGTCTGCTACAGTCTTGTTGTTGTTGTTGTTGCTGCCGGCAGACGTAAGGCCGGCCGGCCGGCCGGGTGGTTCGAGCGACTGTCTTTCGAGTGGCAGCATCAAGACATTTTAATTAGCAAAACTGCACTCGCATCAGCAACAGCAACAACAACATCAGCAGAAAAATTGTCAAAGTGTCTCTAAGTCGCGCAACTTTACTTTTGGCAGTCGCCCCAGCTGTTGCGGCTGTTGCAACTTTTGTTACGCTCACTGTTTTCAGTCGCAGCCAGCAACAAAAGAAGATTCACAGTTAACGAGTAGCAGGTGTCACAAAGCCAAAGACCTGCACGCATTGCTGATCGTATTAAGAGTTAACAAGCGAATGAGCTTTGTGTGATTGTAATTAGATATGAACAAAGGGCCCAGAAATGCATAAAAGTCTTGATTGCATATTTGCATTTTGGCGGTGCTTATTTCATATTCCCGTAAAATACTTATTTATAGCTTATATATACTGTATTTACATACAATATAATAATCAATAAAAATTTACTTAAAGCCAATAATATATTAACATGTTTTATGACTAGGAGATACCCTGATCTGCTTTTTTTAATATTTTCCGTAGTTTGTATCGAGTTGAAAAAAAAAAACAAATAAAAATCGACAGTACGACACCAAGATTCGAACCCACAATTTAGACGCAAACGTGCATCTACTCAACCAACTCCGCCAATTCATAATTAAAAAAATGAAACAAAAATCATCCCTTCGTTGAAGGCTCGAACCTAGGGATTACCACATATGAGCGCCGCCTCTACCAACACCGCCACTGCATTGCCTATGAAGCATATTGCAAATTCGGACTTGAGTAGCAGCTGATAATTCAAGCAGAAAAGAATGCACGCATTTGAAGGTATGTGTGCACATGTATAGGAAACATATAATCTATATTGATGTAATTTTCAGCTTTGTAAGAGTGTAAACTCCTTCACATATTGGCCCTATTTCAAACTGAAATTAATTTAAGGAATTTGGGAAATTTGATGCTGAGATATAATTTAATAATTGCAACAGCTTAAACAAACTTGATATAAGCGTGCTATACTCGGACCTACTATGAAATTTTAAGTCTCTAGCTCATATATATTCTTAGATCGACGCGTTAACATACGGACAGACAGACGGACAAGGCTCAATCGACTCGGCTTGTCCTGATCAAGAATATATATATTTTGTGGGGTCTATCACGCCTGCTTCTGCCTGTTACATACATTTGCTCAAAAGCATTCAAAACCAGGGTATGAAAAAAATTATGTATAATATTATTTTTATTATTATAAGTATATTATTTTAAATTTATTTTATTTTTTTTATTAAATAAATATTAAAAAGTAAAAAGTTATTCGCCCCCGGGTGGACTCGAACCACCAACCTTTCGGTTAACAGCCGAACGCGCTAACCGATTGCGCCACGGAGGCAGTTGACAAACGACTGGAAAAATACGTAATTCTAATTATAAATTTTACTGAAAGCTTTTTATATGAAAAACAAAGCACGCAAGATAAGTGCTCGATTAGATAATAAATAACTTAAAAGAACAAAACGGCTCGAGAGCTATAAATATTTGCGAGCTGAATGAATTTGTTCTAATGTCATGTAGAACTTTTGCGAAAATCATAAATTGACGCAAGATTAAAATGATTTCAAATTATAATGTAAATTATTGCAGCGAGCCATAAAATGTTTACAAATTGTTTCGCATCAAGGAACATTTAATTTATGAGGTTTGCTGAATGAATTGGGATATTGCTTAAGTTCAGCACATGTTCATTAATTATACAATGTTATAATAAGATGTTCCGCATTAAACATTAGATAGTTTTGAGTTTATGGATTTTAAAATTCGACACCTATTTTCGCTGAAATAATTATTTTGATTGCGACATACCAACCACGTTTGCTAAACAAATCAATTTGGAAAACTCAGCATAAATACAGATGGATGACAAGAATGGAAGGACACGCTTCTGTTCTCTGTCAAGTGCAAGACGAGATCCGAATCGAATAGTTGTCGAATTGATAGTCGTGTGTCGTGCGCAAATGCCGGGCGTGTCTCATTAAATGACAATTAGAGTTAAGCTTGAGTTCCAGCCTGGAGAGCTCGAGACCAGACCAGCGCAGAGCAGCGCAGCCCAGCCCAAACTCCAAGCAAGCTTGAGCACAGCTAAAGAGGCGAGTGGCAAGTAGTCGGCAGCAGCCAGACAGGAGGTAGGAGGCAAGTAGCCAGCGAGGAATGCGCAGCCAGTGGCAGGCAATTTATATAAAAATAATGCTGCATTGTATTGTGTTTAGTTTGCTTTTATTTGTGTTTTATTGTATTTAGTTTTTATTTCTGCGGCCGCTGGCCTCGACTGGAGCCTGCAACAAATGCAATTATATAGAAATTTGTCTTGCTGTGATATGTGCGGCATGTTGCAGTTGCAGTAGCAGTAGCAGTAGCAGTTGCAGCAGCAGTAGCAGTAGCAGTATTTGTGTGGCCATCGACTGCGCCAAAAATAGTCAATTTGGGAAAGGCTAATAATAAATGCGATCCGTCGTCTGTCAGTCAAACACACACAGGCGAGTCAGTTCGTCAATCAGTCGGTAAATGAATACTCAGCACATACATATACACACATAATACACGTACATACATACATATATGTATACAATATATATGAATGAACGAATGTTGGCAACCAAATTGGCCAACTGACATTCACAGCCAAGGTGGCATTTTGTTGTTTTTGGAGCCAAAGTGAATGCGACTGAATGCAATTCGCTGCTGGTGTCGTGTGACCTACACCAGGCCAGTGATTGACGGATGGCACATTTGCGGATTGATTAGTTGTTTTTACCAAAATGGCCTCTCGGCCGTGCCACACGACGATGGCGACGCTGATGGCGATGGCGATGGCGCTGGCGACAACAGTGGTTGCCTGCCGCATGCTGCATGCCGCACGTTGCCAGCCGCCAGCCGCCAGCCGCCAGCTGCTGCTGCTCCGTTGACAGTCAGCACCCGCTTAACATCGTCAACTTCAGGTCCAAAGCTTCAATTTTCAGTTTTTACTTGCTTTTCTGTTGTTGTTTTTTGCCTCCTTCAGCATTTTGGGCAACACTGATTTGCATTTGCATGTTGCTGTTGTTGTTGTTGTTGCCCCTTCCTTTGATGGCGTGTGCATCTACCGACACTGATAGGAGCCGCCGCGAAACAAAGGAATAGCCAAATGTGTGTGCTCCCTGTTGCGGGCTCCATTGATGCTGGCGCTTTCAATGAAAACATAAAAATAAAAATGCAAATTAAGCCCCACAACGAAAGCATTTAAATCTAACGCACAATTCCACGAGTGCAAAACGACGGCAACCCACCAGCACAGTGGTGCAAAAACAAAACTAGGGAGTTATAGATTGACGAGAAACAAACTCTGATGGAGCGCAAACATTTTTTCCATTGGAAGTAATCTATGAGTTGATCATAATTATTACAGCTTCACTTTCACTGTTACGAATGATATTCCAATATTCGACTTTTTCGAACAAAAATGCAAATCAATTAAAAATGTTATATAATATTCCCTCTGTGTCATTTGGAGGAGCAAAAAATTTGTTGAAATTCAGAAATAACCTCACTCGTGCGGACTCGAACCTGCAACCTTTGATTAAAAGTTGTCGGGCGTGCTAACCCCTGAGCCACGGAGCACGTAAACGAACAGTTTACAGAACGGAAATGATAAAATATGATAAAATGGGGTTTCATTCCATTTAGTTTAATTTTTTTTTTCAAGAAAATTATATCAGCAATCGAAAAGATGCTAAGTATAATTACATGACTTTCTATACTGAATAAACATAATTATATTATAGGAATGCTTTTACAGTTTCGTTATTAACTTTCGGTAAAAGAGGTTTTTTTTAAATATCTAGGACTTTAGACTCTTGTATCTTGTAGACTCCTCGAATGCTTTTAAAATTGATGCTGATCAAATTTCACTGTGTGTGGGTAGGCGGAATCACCCAAACCAATTCAAACCAAACGAAACGAAGCCAAGTGAAGCCCCGCACAGGGTTTAGCAGGAAACCTTAAGCAAATGTTATGGCCACGCCAAGCCTGGCCGGGCTAAGCTGCCGGCACTGGTCAAAATGGGGCGGCTGGTAAACAAAGCCAACACGAAACAGCAGTAACAACAGCAGCACTAACAACAATCAGCAGACAGAGACAACACTGCGTAGAGAGACATTGTCAGAGTTGGAGTTTGGCTGGTTGGCGGTGGGTTTTCGTTCGGTCGCATCCGGGCCAACAACATGCACTTTAAAGCGTTTATATCCGCAAGC